CTTTCATTTCAGGCTCCCTCACTATCTAAAGCCTTACAGAGTATTACATTGGATATTTCAGTATTGACTAGAGTGATTATAATTATCCAACAGCAGGGAACACATAAATATGTCTGTCATACTCTTCTGCCAGTCCAACCATCTGATTGTTCTCTTGTAGGAAAAACCTCTAGTTCCAATCAAGCCTATTCTACCATTCCATCTAAGACTAATTTTTATTACTGAGTAGCAAAGCCAAAAGGAGAGGAACAATTAATACTACATCTTAATGGTCACCAGATAAATTCAAGCTTTGAAATTTAGCCAAATGAGATTGTAAAACAACTTTCTCCTTTCCTATCTAAGGGATTTATTTGCATTGTAGATCATGATTATAATAAAGATGTTTGCTTTCAATTAGCCTTTCACTCATCCCACTAGAAGTATCTATTTTACACTGTGGAGCACTTGTCTCCAGTTTCAGGTGCTCTCCAGCAAATGCAGACTGGTGGCACATCTCCACCTCCTGGACATTCACATTTACATTGATCACTGGCTTATAGCTTCATTATCTCATCTATTGTTAAACAAAAAACAAGTCCAATGTACTCAGTGAAAATAGACTGGGACTCATGGCTTAAACAGCAAAGCTCTTCTGATCCCTTCTTTAGTTTGACTGTATATTGGCATCTAGTTGGACTTTCAGGTAGTATGCACTTTCTAGACTCATCACTAAGCCTTTTTTCTTTTACCTTTCACCCAGATTTGGCTCCTGCTATTCAGTGCTTGCTCAGATTCATGGTGTCAACCATATTGGTTGTATAACACCCTAGACTTGGAGGCAAATACTGAAAAGGTTGTACTTCATTCTGTTCTATGGTCATAAACACGCTCTCCCCCCAAATGTTAGCCAGTTGCCTCTATCCTACTCCAGTGCACAAAGTTCAGTTGATAGGGAAACATCTGCAATACAATTATTTATAATTGTTCTGAATATTCAGTGATTGCTGTTGTAGTCAAGAGAAAAATGTTTTTCTAGAAATCAGATGAAATCCTACTCTTACTGAATTCTAAAGATCATCACAGTTATCTTTTGATGTACTTCACCAAAATGCTTTCAGAATCTAGCAACAAAAAGACACTCCAGCTTTTGTTTCTTTCTCTATTGAATTTATTTCAGGGTTCAACTCCTACAGCTGCACATTCTCTTAATTTTGAATATGGGAAGGTGCATGATCCCTGTATTTGTTACCTTCATTTGGGAGTCTTCTATGAGCAAGACTTGTTAAAAGAATGTGATAGAATTGCTTCTAAAACAAAATATGACTTTTTAAACACTACTTCCATGTCAGAAACAGCCTAATGTTTCATCTTATGTCTCCCTGGCAGTCAGTGGCACAATGGAATCTTTCTATCATGCATTCCTAATTCACAAAGAAGCCATTTAGCCACTGGCCACTAAAAATCTATCTCTCTTTAAATTAGGTTTCTTTGTAATGGTTATGTCAGCTTACCCATGAGTTGTATGTTCTTAGAGAGACTCACTCCATTTCTGTAATTACATCTTGGTAAGATGATACTGCAAATGGATTGGATTTTCTTTTCCAAAAGTGAGTTGGAATTACCTTTTAAATAAGCTAGTAATGCACTCTTATTGCACTCTTTTCTCCATCCCAAGAACACTCTTTTTTCATTGGATGTGCAGTGATCCATGACATTTTGTTTAGGCAACATCAAGGAGTTCTGTTCTTCTCTGCCTTTAAAATTTTCTTTACAATATTATGCAATCCGGTATAAATCCCTCATTGCTTTATATTGTTGGTTGGCTTATCTCACACCATCTGCTGCTTCTCTATGATGTGAGAAATGCCAACATCAATTTATAGAGTTCTTTCTCATGGGATTTGGTTGGACCTCTATAAAGAAACTATTTGGTCCAACCAGCTGACATTCGTAAGATGCTACCAAGTAGACTTTTGGCAAGAGTAAATGCCAATTGTGACAGAGCAGAATTATCCTCTGTGCTTTCATAACTGTAATACTTGACCCACAGCCTTCAAGATTCTCTTACTTATTATCCATACATGTGCTGCCCAGAGACCATAATGAAGAATAGATTACTTAACTGTAACTATAGTTCTTTGTCTTGTCATCCATGCATTTACTCAGCCACAATTTTCCTTGCTACAGGTGCCTGCCTTGGTAGGTATTCCTGATTTCTGAACTGAAATGACAGTCTCTTGAGAACTGAGGGGAATGCAGGAGTTTCTTCTAGGAGCATGCACAGTAGGGAAACACTTTCTGCCAGAAATCCCACCTACAGAAGATTTCTGGTTGAGCTTGGTGCAGGCACAGAACCCTTGTATTTGTTGGACAGATGATCACTCAAACAACCATAGTTACAGGTAAGCAGCTAAATTTCAAGTTGCCATTTGTTTGTAGAGTTGGTTTTTGAATGTTTGGTGAAAAACAGATAAAAAGATATTTTAATAAGCATCCTGTATTCCTTCTGACAAAATTAGGGCTGGTGTTTGTGTGTATGTCTCTCTGTGTGTGTCTCTGCATGTCACTGCCAATTAGCATCCCATGAAAAATTCTGAAGTTATCAGATTATTTTTATTGTCATTTATAAATGTCATTTGGTATGTTAAATAATATGGAAGTAATGTTTAACAGGAAAGATGAAAAAGTAAATAGAGAACAGAATGAGGAAAAAGTTTGGGAGAAAGAAAATAGATAAAATAATAACATAAAATACTAAAAGCAGAAAGCAGATACACCGTACTGATAATATAGTACTTAACTGCAATTTATTGTATAAGCCACAAATATTTGGATTTATATACCCACATATTAAATCATAGCCCAAGTTATATAAAGCTCAATGGCTAGATACATGTCACAACTTAAGCAAAAGCATACAAATTAGTTCATGTCTTAGTGCACTGTAAAACTATTCAGTCTCTTTTTGGAGAGTTATAATATTTATAATTTAATATGATAAAGTAGGAGGAGTTGTTTCCTTGCACAGCTATTGGAAATCAGAAATCATATAAAGGACCAAACCTAATCAGATCCCACAGTCAACCAAATACGAAGCACTCTGAATTCCATGACTTCAGTGCAAGAAATGTTGATTATGTTGATTTGTTGGTATTAATGAGTCTTTACAGTGAATATATATATGGTTAGATGCTGCTTGCTTTCATCATGTAATGTGTTCATAGTATAATGATCCTACTCACTTTTTATATTCAATGAATCTGCCTTTTTTTTTAATCCAGGTCAAGGATTTGATCGCCACTTATTTGCTTTGAAGTACCTTGTCCAGCGCAGAGGTGGAACTATTCCTGATATTTATCAAGATCCAGCCTATAAAAACATAAACCACATTAACATTTCAACTAGTACACTAAGCACTCCAGCAGTTAATCATGGTGGATTTGGACCAGTAGTGCCAGATGGTTTTGGGATTGGATATAATGTGTTTGAGACCTGGGTAGGATGTGTCATTACTAGCTATTTGGAACAGGAATTAGATGACCATCTGAAATGTCTTCAGTGCACACTAGATGATATATTTGAAGTCTTAGAAGAAAGACAACTTAAATAGTATTAAAATATTTTGAATTGACTACATAACGATTCAAAAACAGCTGATATTTAAATAATGCATATATTACTATGAAATGTAATAGTAGATTAAGTAGCAAAACAAAGCTGTTCAAAGTGTTCAAAATGAACACTTTAAATCTTAAAGCAGTTTTAATTACATAATAATACTTAAATCTTTGTTCTCAATTATATTCTGTAACTTCTCTTTTTTAAAAAAATAAAAATATACCAATATTTTCAATTAATTTTATTGATTTTCTGGAGCTTTATGTGCCTAATAAATCAACATTTGCTGAAGAGTATAAAATATTGGAATTCCAAAATCCGGCAAAAGTAAACCACTATGTAAATTATTTATTAGATGTCTTTTTATTTGACAAAGCCAATGCACAATGGATTTAAAAAAACAAAATGTTGAGGTGGTATTTCATAACATAGAAAGCTGTGCAAATATGTTTTGTCATGTGAAAAGGGGATATTATTAAAATAAAGTGACTTTTTCCTTTTACATTTGCTTGCTGAAATTATTTCATCTAAATGTGAATAATCAGATATGGTATCGGTGTATTGTATAAAGCAGTGTGCCAGACCAGTCATTAATAATGAGTGTTATTTTTGTAACATTGAGAATCTCCATAAACATTGCTTTTTCTATTTGACCTTCAGATCTAAGACATTTCATGTGTAACTCTGAATCATATGAGCTTTTCAGCTATATGTTTCTCTGAAAATAACATGTATTTCAAACTTTTATTACAATATTATTAGTTATTACAATAACTAATCTGCATATAATGTAATGCTTGAGAGTCTGTAATCTCATGTGAAGGCAATCACAATTAGGGAATACAAGAGAGAAATTTAGGAAAGAGAATTAATTATGAAAACATTTTGGAGGGGTTCTGAAATCGAAATGCTTTTATACGAAGTGGGATGAAAATCAGGAAATCTTGAGTCCTGATCTTGAGAAATCTTGAGAAATAGAGGGTTGCATTTTAAAATTCAAGGGTATGAAATTTGGAACATTTCATTTGTTCTGAATTTTTTATAACCCAGAAATTCTGTCCCCCCCCATCCCCATTGGTCTTGAATTTTGAGTTTCAGACTGCTAATGATTATAAATCTGGTGAGGTTGTCCCAGTTTTCAGGTTATCTCATACATTCCTTCGTTCCAGTATATTGGAACTATTTGAAAGTCCTGTCTGCTAAAATGAGGGAAATTTGGTATACATGACACACACTGATTGCCTCAGGCTGTACTGAGTTTGAGAGGTACATTATGTTCTCATAAAGGTCTCATGTCTTGAAGGTAGCTGTATGCATATGTATGGGATACTGTCATTTGTGGCCTGAACCATTCGTTTGATTGGAAGACACCATCTTCTAGTGGTAGCAAGTATTAAAAAATGGCTCTTAGACCAATTGGCTGGATATGTGGGGAGATTGTCAGGAAATTTGCTGGACAAGGTATGAATTTTTTAAATGCCTAAGTCTAAGAATATTTTCATCTTAAATTTTCAAACATTTAAAAGAAATCTAGCTTCTACCAAATACACACATTCATACAGACATAACTTTGTTGAATTTGGCTAAGATAACCAAACTCCAAGAGAAATGTCATTTAGAAATATGTGAGAGATGGGCTAAGTTCCCACAATATTTTACCATACAGAAATTTCTGAAATCTTAGTGCCTCCAGTTGCCCCTGCAATTTCAGTTCAACAGTAAAGGAAGTTAGTAAGAAAGGTCCATAGTCTTGCCAAATTATTAACCCCTTAGAAACAGGAGGCAGATCTGATGAAGCTGGCTAAAAATTGACTATAAATAAAGTTTATACATATAAGAAGCTGCCCTAAGCCATACCACCATTTAGCTAACTCTTGATGGCAACAGGATTTTGATTTCTCCAAATTACTGCTAGTCAAGATTATTAAAAGAGAGATAAGGAGAATCATAGAATCATAAGGTTGGAGGGTTCCTTGGAGGCCTTCTAGTCCAACCTCCCAAAATAGGAGTAGACTTTCCTGGGACTGATCCACTATACAATGCAGAAAAAAAGGGGAAGGAATATTGATACTTGACATAATCACCACAGTCTTTGGAATATGGTTCAAATTGGGTAGGATCTGGTGTTCATGAATGGGGCCTAACAAAATCTAAATGGCATTTTAGTTTCTGCTATTATACCTCATTTAACCCAATTTTTTTACAAATATGCAGTGCTTCATATTTGAAATTTAATTCTGAAGATCAGGATTTTATTATTTTAATTACTGTATTTCAATTCAGCTGGGGTTATACAGAGAGCCGTCTTGGAAATTATAGATGAGATTAGAGACGAATTTCCAAATCTATTGAGGCTGACACGTTCAAACCAGGTAATATTTCTTAACTACTACATTTCCTTGCTATTTCAAATGTTCAGACATTTTCATAACATGCTTAGTATTTATTTTTCATTTTGCAAACTCTCGCATTACAATGAAAAAATTACCATATGACAGTAAAGATATTCAGTCCACTAAATACATTTTAAAAGCTGTTACAATATTGCATACTTCTATATGTCATGTTTAGTTTAATTTTCTTTAGTATGAGTACCTTAAGTGAAGTGTCATATAAGAAATAAGTATGATTAAAAGCAACAAAAAGAAACTATTTTAATTATTCAGTGATGCAGGTATCCATGTTGTACCTTTATATTATACTAAAAATGTGCAAGTATAATTTATACCAGAATAAGGGTGACCTTGAATTTATCTCTGTCACAGTGGCCATCTTGTAAAATAGCTTGCAGAGGAGATAGAAATGAGGGGAGTAGGTAATTGTCTCCTTGCAACATTTTTTATCAGTCATGTTGGTTTGGATGGTTGCTGCAACTATTTGTTTAACAGAGCAAAAGGGATGGGGGGGGATATTATGAACCTCCTGAGAAATAAAACATTTGGCAAATGTTGGCCATTTCACTAAGTAATGATAGAGCTGTCTTAAGACGAGAAGGTCTATGCAAAAGTAGGTGGCAGGGAACCAAGTTGGAAAATGATGTTTTAGCAAATGATAATATTTATTCCTAGTGTGCAACACAGTTGTGAAATTGCCTTCATTTTCATAAAACAATATAATGTAATAGCATACAATACTGGATATAAGAGGTACATTGTATTGAGGCACCAATATTGGGCCACCAGCTAGCCAACCAGACTTTAGGCTTAAAGTTCTGCAAACTCTGTGATCAGTTTATGGTTCAGTATGTTATTCAAACAAAGAAACTGGCTTGGACAACTCACAGTTAGCGGTAGCTAGGCAGGTAACATGAACAGAGTCGCTCAATTGCAAGGGTGAAAGCTATTGTTACAAGTAGATGTATTTTAGTCAAAATATCTACTTTAACTTTTAAAGTTTAACTAATGTTGATGTTAGTCATAAAATGGAAGGACATAGATCTATCTATCCTCATATAAAGAATATCATAACAATGTTTATCCATCATAAAGACATTGCCAAAACCCAAGTGCAGGAGATCTTGTAAATTTGGACTTACCAGATATGGGCTGCAAAGATCCACTGGATCACTAAATATCAATTAAAAAACTCCTAATTGAAGATGTTGCTCAGTTGAGTAATGAAATGACTGCAAGCAAACAACCAAGCTCAGAAAGCATCAAGAACTCCACAAGCACCTAACTCTTTGGTGCCATCTAGCCTTTTGCATTTCCAGTCTGGTAAATCTACCTAATGGCTTCTAAAATAAAACTGAAGTAATACAATCAGGTAAACATGTCAACATTTGAAGAAAGATTGTGTTAGTTTTCTCGAAAATAGAAGATTGATCTAAAGACTACAAATCTTTTGTTTTGGATATATAAGAATGTTTTTGTTTTAAAGTATTTAGTGATGTTGTGCTGACATTGAAGCAAGGGCCTTAGATTTGACTTTTGCAAACTCTTCCTCTTTCTCAGACATGGGGTTAGCATCAGGAGCAGTGTGCTGCAGGGGGATTATGCAAAAATCATCTCCTCCTCCTCCTCCTCCCCACAGAACAAGCCCTTCTGACTATTGAACAGCCAGCCTATGGTGGGATGTAGTCTGGATTCCCAGGAGGGAGGGGCTGCATTCCAGAGGACCAAGAGACAGCAAAATTTAGATAGTTTGATTGGCAGAAAGAGGTTAATAATTCAAGTAGTTGCTTTAGTTTGGAAAGATTTCTGCCTCTAGGTAAGGAACAATATTTCCCCGAGAGAAAACTGCTTAGAAATCTTTCTACTTGTCTTTGTTTTGGGGGGCCTGACACAGCCTGGATCCTACATTTGTATATATTAAAGGCAAATGCAAACCACTTCTGAAAATGTCAACAAAATTGCATGAATTTAGACAGTTGCCTAAGTCAAAACTGATTTGAAGCCATAAATAAATAACGTTTCCATTTAAAATAGCATCTCACCCCTGCTTTTATTTTAAAAAAAACATACAGGAGAATATTGTAAAAACAAATGTCATTATTGGATAAGAGATTCTTTTCCATACAACAATATTTGATATTTGAACAGCCTTTGGAAGACAAAAATTGCTAACTATTTTATAACAGAATCCTATGGCCCAGTTATAGCACATTGATATTGAAACATTCTCTAGCAATAGGTTGAAATTTGGAAGATGAAGCGTACCATTTTCTAATATTTTACCTTTAAAAAGACTCTCATTTTGAAAGTTAGGAGAAGGTTTAACTTAACTAGCAAGGAAGGACTGGTCTCAATTTTTCTACATGTTGGAATACCCCACTATTTGGAGTTTCCTAATGTTGGATTTTGAAAATAATTACTCTCATAGATTAGCAAGAAGATGGGAAGATTAATTCAAGATTTCTAACTTTCAGATTTGAACCAGTGGTGGGATTCAAATAATTTAACAACCGGTTCTCTACAGGGGGGTGGCAGAGGGTGGGGGGACACTGCCACGAGGCAGGTGGGAAAGAGGGGAGTTGCCCCGTGTACCCCACAACCGCTTATCATGCCAAAGGGCCCCTGCAGCCAGGCCTACCACACCCTGACACCTGTCGCACTTTGCCTGTTCGGTAGTGACTTCTCCCACCTTCTCCTTCCTCCTCCTTTGAGCAGCCCTTTGCTCCCATTGCTGCTTTTTCAGTCCCGAAGTTTTGTCCAGAACCTGTGCAAAGGGTGTTTGGAAACGAAGTCCTACATTGATCGGGTGGGGTGGGAACCATTCCCTTGTTTTTGGATCAGCTCCAAAATGGGCTAGAAGGAGAGGCCCAAGGACTCCAATCTGGCTTTGCAGCAAGCAAGGGGATTGGAGGCACGTGAGTGCACACTAGTCTGGCTTCTCACTGCTGGATTTTCACTGCTATACTGTTTAACTTTCTTTAAAGTTTACTTGATGCAGTTTTCTTTAAAAAAAGAAAACCTTTCAGGCAGTGCACTCGTCAAATGTATTGAAAGGTGGAACTGATTTATGAATCACTAGAACATGAATTATTAATATTATTTCAATAGATATATGCTTGGCTTGCATAAACTGTTTTAACTTTTTAATGGCTTATATTATACTTTTATTTAGAGACAAAACTATTTATACTTTTATGAATGCATGATTTATATCTGTACTTTCACATCATTTTTAACAGTTTCACGTACATTACTAGATTCACAATTTGATGAACCACTCACTTTCTGGAGGACTGGGACATATAACTTGATATATTCAATTAGATTCTTCAATTTAAAAGTGGACAAGAACATTTTTTTTTCTTAATTACTATTTTTCTTCCCTGAGCTACCATCTGTATCCCTGTTCTGTTCTGTTTTTTAATTAGTTCAATGATGACCTGTTTCATCATACTTGTGGTCACCAGAGGCAGCAGGGATTCACCTCAGCTCCCAAGTGGCCCAAAAGACTTGATGCCTGAATTTAAACAATAAATCAAATAAATTATATTACTTGTGATGGCAAGTTTCAAACCCAGTACTTGCACAAGTCTGTTGGCCAAACCATGAACTGCCCCCTCCCCATGCTGAATTTGTTTTTCCCTGGTACGAAGTAGGTAATTTATAACACGAGGTGGGAAATTGCAACCTGTTTATTCTGTACAGTGCAAAGAATTGTGCTCTTTGGGGCTAAATCACAAATTAGCATAGCTTTTATGCCCCTTTGGAAAACAAAGGCACATGATTGTTAGGCAATGAGCAGCAATAGGTAATGAGTGACAAAGTATTCACACCCCTGCTAGAGAAGGGCCCTCCCAGAAGTGGATTCATTACTAAAATATTATAGCCCTCGTCCTTCTGTCCCTAACTGATAAGGCTAGTAATTAAGTATGCAAAAGTTTCTAACTATATGCAACAGGATAGGGGAAGTTAACTCTGACTCAACTTCTGGCCTGGTGCAAATTCCTTGATAAGGGTATCACGTAACCTTCTGGGAATTTTAGGGCAAGGCTGTGAGGCCCAAGAATAAGAAGCCCAAAGAGAATATATCTAAGGATTGTGAAGTGAACAAAATTAAGGTGTTTTTTTTAACAAAATGGAGAATGTCCATAGACATTTAACAAAATGGAGTTTCTCTGGCTAAAACTAGCTATATCAGTCCTACATACAGGATAAGGCACACAAGTGCCAAGTGCAGGGGATAAACCAATAGCTATCACTTCTTCTGTCAGGAAGTGGAAAAATACCTTTTGAGACAATACAATACAGGCTAGGGGTGAGTTGAGGAAGAGATTGTATATTCCACTCCTCTAGAAAGATGAGTGGCTCATGTTTGCATTAAGACAACAGGAAGTGCAGATTTGCCCCCAGGCTTCCAGTTGTTTCTTATTTATGTACAGATGGGAAATAAAATGCTAACAAGCACTCCCTTGTTAAAATTTAAGCTACTGGGTGCTCCAAGCATACATGGCCCTTTTCTATCCCCCATTCCCAGTTCCACTTTTTCCTCTCTACTCTATTGCCAACTGCTCCCCAAGGATGGTTTTTGTTTGTTTTTTAAATTTTTGCATTGACCACTCCTCCCAAACAACAAGTTTGGTGTACTGTAGCTGTTTTTCTAAAATGACATTTCCCTCCTGGTTTTCAGTGAATGAACAAGGAATACAATTCTGAATTGCACTAATAATCTTGACAGCATTTAGTGGATAAGCAATACATAAATTCATGCTTAGTCTTTAACCTCTTATTTAATACAGTTTATTCTGTTTTTCAGTGGTAATCCTATGTAAAAAGGTTAACAAAATTACTAGAAATAGTGATTCTATTCAATTAAAATAATAACACATTATAAGTAGAATAAACATTTTTTGGAGTTGTAATATTAGAATTATAAAATACTTCTCTGTAGCTGAGATAGACTATTTTAGTTCCAAATTTTACTGTTCTGAATGTAATTATTATTATATTTTTATCCTGCCTTTTATGTATGTTATATGTAAATATAGCCAACTCATAGGCATGTAACTGTATGTTACTATCTTTCACACAACAAATTGACTACTTTTATTCTAAATCCAAAAGCTTTTTTATTTCTATTTCAGGAAACAGATCGCAGAGTGCAGAAATCTGAATCAGTTATCACCAGGGCATTCTATTCAGCTCATGGAGCTATCATTATGAATGGGCTAACTACACTATCACGGTCTTCAAACTCCATTGCAAAAGTTTTACAGCCGCAGCTTGCTAAAAAATTAACAGAGCTAAATATCTTATCACAACGCCTTTTGAGAACATCAAATACTCCCAAACAGCCATTGTATAGGATGCAAGTAGGTAAATTCAACTATCCCTCACACAACTTAAATAAGTTCTGTTCTGAAAGTGCTAACATCAAACATGTCACTAAGCTACAGTCTAGCTCAGTGATGGGGAACCTTTTAGAGACTGAGTGCCCCAAAACCGCCCTGCCACCCCGCCCGTCCTGCTCCGTGCCCCACCCACTCCGCCACACACCCCGCAAGGCCACCCACCGCCTCCGGGGCCCACCACAGCAGATCGCCCAGGCGGCCCAGCACACCATGGCAACCATGCCCTCCACCCGTGCCTCACAGCATCATCTGCGTGCGATGGGGTGCAAGGGCGGAGTCTTGTCCCTGCTGCCCGGCTGCCATGTCCTTGGCTGCGCTGCTCCGGGCAGACCGTGCTCAAGGGCGACTTTCCTCCAGGGGGGCTGCTCATGAGAAAGGGGCCTTGGGGGGAGGCGGGGCTGGGGCAACAGCACACGTGCCCACAGAGAGGGCTCTGAGTGCTGCCTCTGGCACGCATGCCATAAGTTCGCCACCACTGGTCTAGCTCCTATAGATTTAGTGTCAACTCAGCCCTTATAGATTATAAATCATGATTAATGACTTAGATTGCCCTGATAGTCTCTGAGTTAGTTGTACCTATATTTAAAAAAAAATTGCTTTCCCTCATCTCAAAATTATATGGGGGATAGATATCTTGGCCCAGCTTAATTCAGTTACTTGATGAGTAATGAAGGTAATCCTTGCTTAATGGCAATTGGGATCAGCAACCATCATTGCTAAGTGACACATTTGTTAAATGAAACATCACGTGACCATGCTGCAATTAACATCACTCTGGCTGCGATCATTAAACAAATAATCTATGGTCATAAGGGAAGACATCATATAACTGTGACTTATGATTTTATTGCTGACTTCTCCATTAACTCTTTCTCAGAAACCAGCTGTGAAGTGCAGAAATGACAACCATGTGACTGCAGGAATGTGCAATAATCATAAATGCAAGAACCGGTTGTAAAATTACTTTTTCAGTGCTGTCGTAATTTAGAAGAATCCCTAAACAGGACAGTTGTTAAGCAAGGACTACTGCATGCTAAAAACTCTTGATTGCGAATTAACGGATTACGGAATGAACTATAAATGGTTGAATTCATTTGGTATATAAGTTGAACAACTTGCTAAATCACTAGAAAGTAATTCCTAGTGAATCAGGAAACTGCATTTTCTTAATGAGATAAAACTCTGAGTCTATTTTCTCCTAGCTCCATCCATCCTTTTTTCTCTAATAGGAAGGGAAAAAAATAGATGAAAGAGCTGCACCATGTCCTTTACTTAGTAATACCAGGAATTCAGTATGGAACCCCCTTGGTATAAAAGACAGCTTCATATGTCGTCTAACAATTTGTTACACTACAGTATTAAGGAACAATTGTTTAATTCTACTGAAAACTGTGGGATTTAAAATTGAGAGGATCACACCCACCATATTATAAAATGGATGAATGATTTTTTTTTCTCTTTCTGTTTTCTCTCTTCAGGACAAGAAAGTCTTCTTTTATGATATCATTTCCTACCCAGCAAAAGCTGCCCTTACCAGCATAATGTGTGCTTCTTATGCAGCACTAATTTTTCTGGTGGGTTAATAAATAAGTGTTACTCCAGCTTTTCTTACACAAAATACCATCTTATTCTCAGCAAGTAAACTCATAATCAATAATTATAGAATCTTAGCAATAGACCTCATATCTCTTTACTAATGAGAAAAAAATGAGTTCAAGCATCACATTAAGCCACAAAATGGTTTGGTTATAACTTAGATGTGTTTAGTAAACTGTGAATAATAAGCTTTGCTTTATAACTAATGTGTTTTGGCAAATACAACCAACTATAGACTATCCCACATGCCATGATTGTTACAAACCATGGTTACAAATGACTTAGCTTGATGAAGGAACTGTCTGGCACAAAGAATCAGGGCCATACGTTAAGTTGCAGTTCAGAAGATTTATTTCTCAAACCTATACATGAGAATCTAGTCAACTAGAGTTCAAAACTAAATTGGCATGAGATAAGGGTCAATGGATTCAAGAGGGATTGGATTTAGACTGTTTGTGGAAATGTAACAATTTTAGACTGATAACTTGCTTAACTCTGTCCCCAGCTCTACCTGCTCTTCTACAAGAACCCAGCCAATATACTTATAGTGTTTATGTCTTACCCTAACAATGGGTAAGAATGAATAAAATAGTTATAGCAATTATGTCTTAAGAAATGTTAAGATACAGCCCAATCTTCTTTCAAGGTTCTGGTTGAAGTCATAAATATAAATTTCATTTTTTAATTTTTCATATTATATTATTAAATTTATTCTCTGCTCCGTGTGGGTTATAAAGGCAGCTTATAAAATATAAAATGTGGCAGCAAAATTTTAATTAAAATTAAATTAAAATCAATTAAAATCAACAGTTAAAACTTGGGTGAAAAGAATTCATTGATTTAACACTAGAACTGACCAAGAATGGAACTATTTGCAGATCATTATACTTTATATTAAAGTCATTAAAATAACACAGAACATTAATTTGCTTTATATATCAGCTTTCTATCAACAATTATACTGAAGGTAGCTAACATCAGAACAAAATACAATGAATATCTTCATATAACAGCACAACAGCCTAAACTAAGTTGTCTCATCTGATCCAGAATCTTAGCTAGTTCTGGATTTTACTGATCCCCTAGTATATAAATTTACTTGTTGGTTCTACAAAGAAGTGGGAGGCTATAACAACCACAAAAATAGAGTTGTTCCATTTCTCCAACTTTTTCATTCCTCCTCCATGTAGGCTTGAAGAAGGAAAAAGAGAATGGGGAAAATATCCCTATCAATAATGCCTCCAAATTTGATCAGGCCACTGCATTTTTTTAAATGCATTTTTTTCAGTTGTGAATCAAAAAAGAAGAAAGTGACAGCCAAACAGTCATCACAGATGATGGTAATCTGGTATAGGTCAGAAAAGCCAAGATGGCAACCACAACTACACAATCAAAGACTTTTTCAAGATGTGCAACATACATCTTGAGATTTTGACTCCCTATCCCCAGTTATTCAAGGGGGAACAGTTTCAGTTCAGTTTTTATTTTATACCACCTGATGCCAATCTTCCCTATTCATTTCTGTCATAGCTTTACTTTTCCAATGATTTATTATTTTGCTGTAATTAAGGCCCAGAGTCACGTTATGGGGGAGTTGAACAGTATATAAATTTAATAAATAAAATTAAGGCAGTCCAGCCAGTACTAAAACTACAGGGCAATACACTCTTCTTAAATTAGGAAAAATGTACTATGCCAGACTCTCTAAAGTTAATTAAACAAAAGTATCTCTTTTTATGTGAACAGGCAGTCTCCATTAACAAATTGCTGGCAAAAATAAAAGGCATCAGTCAAACAGAAGACACTTCTAGGGAAAGCAGCAGTGAAGATGCGGATGAAAATGGATTTCCCAGAGCTATTGAAGCAACTTCCCCCCTTCAACAAGAATCTTCAATGTTTCCTGTTAAAACATCACAAAATAGTGGAAGCATCCATACTCTACTTGCAGCAATGGATCAAGAAAGTGAACAATAATGGTTCTTTTTATATAGTATAGGCCCAGCTTGGAGTTTTCAGCCTATATCCACATTGTTTTATTAAATACACAAATATATGAACATGGTTCTCAATTTCCATTTGAGAATTGCCAAGTTTTTATATGCTTTGAGGCTGTGCAAAGCATACGGAAGATACATTTTGCAAAGGCAGAAGTTCAAATGAAGTATTTTTTTCCAGGCTGATAATAAAGAGAATGCAACTTTTGTAAGTCCTGGCATGACTGCTTTAGAAGCTGCTTGATGGAGGGAAAAAAACTGATTTATGAATAAATGACTTGTCACGTCTCACATAAAAGTTTCAGAAAGCTTTCATCTCAAAACAGGAAAAAATATTATTAAATAAAAAGGTACATTAAACATTGAAAAAATAATCACATTACCTGGGCAAGGAAAATTTATTTTAAAATATTTGATAACATCCATGGATTGATCAGAAAACAAAAACCAAGTTAAAGTTAAAAACTGAAGAATGAGCAATTATAACAAGTTGATCATTAGAAAACCATTTGGGAAATGCTGATGTTTCTTTTAGTTGACCCTTGTCCGGAAAGCTCGTAATTTCATAGGTTTCATTTTCTTTGCCTGTTAACTCTTCTATGCATGTACATTTTTCTCACAGGATCATTTTAAAAACAACTCTACTTTAAAAAAGAATTCCATAACTTACAATTCCAAAGAGCAGGCAATTGGTTCAGTTTGGATTCTCTCTCTTCAGAAACCTTACTTGCCAGACAACTAACAACATACTGTGTGGAAGGCATGTTGCTCTGAAAAAGCCCCTCCTACACAGCAGTGTGTGCCAAGTTGTTCCAAAGCTACTGTGTAAAGAGGTCTTTGTTACTCACAACCTTTCTAATGGACAAATTCCGACCATTAGAAGAAAAGGGCTCTGTTTGCAGCAAGAGGAAAAAGAAAAGTCTTGTTTGCAAAAATCCCAGTCCTGATTAAGCGTTACAGATACCGTGTGACAGCTCCTTTAACCAGGCCCATGAACTCCATTTCCTACAGGGTCTGTTCCCAAATCCACCAGATGTTTACAGTGCTGATGCCACAGTTGATTCCTCTACCCAGCCTGGCCTGGATTTTAACACATGTAAATGAGTGGTTGGTTAGAGAGAAAATAGGGAATGGTACATACACTAATCAGAAAATCCTTACAAAAAGGCTCCACTGTGGTCCCTGTGAACTGTTTAGCATTACTAATGGAAAATTTGTATTGTAAATAGTTTGTTACATCTTAATTGTGTATACAAAGCTCAAAGTAAAGCATCTGTTTCCTTTGGTGTAAGTATGAAATAACTAGTTAATTTTGGTAGTCATTAAAAGACCTTCTGAGGCATAGTAGCAAATTACAACCCACCAAAATATAAATTAGCACTAAACTGTCTGTTTAAAATGGTATTTACAATTAAAAACACACAGCAACAAAACACGTACACAGGTGTCCTGGAGAAAAAAGGTAGGATTAAAGAGAGTCTATTTGAACAAGTCTGTGTTAGAATATATTCTCTCCTGGATACCGGAAGATTTCTTCCCGTACCTTCCATCCAGCCAGCTGAGATTCAAAAAAAGAAAAGTCTCCAAAATCATCTGCTTCAAATGGCAGGGAAATGTGTTTGCGTAGGAATTCATCTACTGATCTGCATAGGTTTACCATATTAGGGATACTAAGTATTACTATAGCCTATAGGTCTACTCTGTGTGTGTGTGTTTGTGTATGCGTGCGTGCTAATCTCTGGAAGTTTGCTTTCCTAGAAGGGCCTGAAAAGAATTCCTGATTAATGCAAATAACCTGCTTGACTCCCATTAAGCAGACTTTTGTGGCCTACCTACTTTACTAAGAGACACTATACCGCAAAATAATTGGTGTATTACAAGCCATTACAGCAAGAGTCAATATGTACCAAGCTTACCATTGTGGGATGAAATAAATCAAGTACAAGATAAAGGATGAGAGTTTCACAGCAAAAAATATTTCTTTAATTAAAGATCCCTAATAATACATAGCATGGGAAAAGTAGTATCCCCATTTATTTACACTGATAATGCTTTTAAATGCATTTTTCATACAAGGCAATCCCTGGGTTACACAAGGATTCCATTGCAAGGATAGTCTGTTTTGGGGGAAACAGACATTGTAATTTTTAAGCTCCAGGTGAGCCAGCATTGTCACCCTGATGCCCTCTTAAGTGTGTGAGGAGTATTTCTGTAACCCCGAAGAAAAGCAGAAGGCAATGCATCCAGTCTGTCCAGAGTGAAGAGTCAATAAAACTTCAGACTGTGATAGAAGAGAGGCAGGAGGGTGGATCATATCCATTTGAAAAGACTCCATGTCTTGCAAGACTGGGAACCACAGAATAATTTGAAGATCTCAGGTACATTACTTAGAATGCTTCTGTTTTCAAAGGCACTTCAACAAGAGAGTTAGAGAGTAACATTTTCAACCTTTTTAACCAGGTTGAAGAATCAATGGCAGGCATCAAATTCACTGGGAAACATGCTTACATTAGCAATTTTTAAAAATGATAGGACCAGGCTCTAGCATCCACAGAGACCAAGCCTATATCTAAACATAAAGCAGCATTTGTAATACATCCTGGGACTAGAAGAGTAGCTCTAATATGCTTAAATTGAATGGTTTCAAGGATGTCCTAAAAGCACAGACTTGGCTATTGTATACAAGCTGAGAGGCAACCTTGAATATAAAACCCTTTCAGGGATATAATGACCTTTCTCCAAATGAAAAAAAACCCTCAGAATAATTAGGAGCTTCACTGAACAATACTTACCAATTATCAAAAAGTTCTCCTCAGGATACTAAAGCTTGAAAAAAAAACCCCACTCCAAGGTACTTGCAAGGGTATACCTACTTGATAGCATTCTCCTTAATTTTCTTATTATGAATATTATGATAATGTCACACAAATACTGTGATTTAAATTTTCTGATCCGATTTTACTAGTTTTTCCTCTGAGCAGAAAGTGACCAAAGCCCTCAATTCTCTTCTCATTACTGAGAGATGACCTGATCATGACCTCCTCTGCACATAAAAAAAGCTAGGACCAACTAATAAAGGGAAGTGATGAATGGGGGGAGGCCCTAGCTTATTAATATGTAAGTCAAAAAATAAAGAAGCTAAAATACATCTCTGTCTCACCTTCTCTGATCAGGGATAGTCCCCAGTTCGTTGTCAGCCATTCAGTTGTGTCTGACCCTCCGCCACTCTATGGATCAGCACTCTCTGTGCCCCTCTGTCTCACACCATCTCCTTCAGATCTGCCATGGTCATTCCGTCCCCAGGAGAAGCATCTAACTCTCAAAGTAGTGTTGGAGTAGAGGAATTAAATGAAAAGAAGCAATGTTTCATCTATTAAGATTCTCTTAGTTTTTCTCATATCCTCTCCCTGGGAATTAACCCAAAGGCTTTGGGCTGGAAAGAATATTTCTCAGTTAAACAGCGGATGACCAGATGGTGGTTAAGAATTGATTAGTCTACTCTAAACTGTGTCTTCTCCTCAACTAAGACGTTTTCACTTGCAGCCTGGTTCAATAGTTGTAAGTACATTTGTTATTTAGTTTGCTGACTGATGGTCAAAAATGGCAGCCTAATCTAGTTTCTTATGTCATAGGATTGGATAACAATGACGGGCTCCATTTAGAAGGAAAACATGCTGAGCTGTTAATAGGAGTGAATAGGACCATTGACCCTAACTCACCAGTCCTTGTTCTCCCTTAATAAATCTGGGGGAGATAGCAATTTCTTCCAAGCCTGTTCTGGGTTTTAATTGTGAAATGAGGTTCTTGATCTGGACGTGGGAGGCTGCCAGGAAAAACATTTGAAAAGTTAAGTTCCAGCTGGATTATTTTATTTTGAAAATATTCTGGAAATAATTCTCCCAAGATCCTGCAGATACTGGACAAAAACCTCTATCACTGAGGTATTGTTACTAAGTGAATGTATCACCAAGAAACAAAACGCCTTTTAGATAACAAGACCAGAATTTATACAGGTAGTCCTCGACTTACCACAGTTCATTTAGTGACTGTTCAAAGTTACAACAACACTGAAAAAAGTAATTTATGACTGTTTCATACTTATGACTGCTACGTCCTATGGTCATATGATCAAAATTCAGATGCTTGGCAACTGACTCATATTTATGACGGTTATAGTGTCCTGGGGTCATGAGATCATTTTTTGCGACCTTCTGACAAGCAAAGTCAATGGGGAAGCCAGATTCACATAACAACTGTGTTACTAACCTCATAACTGCAGTGATTCACTTAACAACTGTGGCAAGAAAATTCCTAAAATGGGGCAAAACTCACTTAACAAATGTCTCACTTAGCAACAGAAATTTTGAGCTCAGTTGTAGTTGTAAGTCGAGGACCACCTATATTCAACAGTTTTTTAACTCAAGTTCCTATGAAGCAAAATGTTATTTTAAAAAGGTTATTTTTCTGCATTTTTTCCTGTTTTGTATTTTTCAGCATAATAGTCAGACTCTTTATACTCCATTAAATCTGAAAGAGTCACATAAACATTTCCATTGTCCACAGTGACTCTGTGAGTCCTTTGTTTTGGTCCTTTTGATTTCCACTTGGGTACGGCAGATGGCTCTTTGGGATTTATTGCCTGATACAATCCTTCACCTGTATTGAGAGTTATTTTATACTTATGCCAAGGACAAATAATACACGGTTGTCCATTGATGTCCTATAGACACAAGGGGAGAACAAAAATCTTTTTCATTATCTTATAAACATTAGAAATATATATATTGTCTATCTACAAATTGTCTCTGATCATTTAGTTAATTGTATTTACAATGTTCCCGCACTTTGATGCTTTCATTTATATCAGCTGCTCCCAACTTTTTCTATACCCCGGACCCCTCCAACTCTTCTGATATATTCTCGCACCCCTTACAAAAGTTAGAAATAACAAATTATGCATATACACTATAATTTTGAAACTTCTAAACCCAGGTTTTCGCACCACCTGGAATATCGTCTCACACCCCCAGGGGGTGCGAGCACCCGTGGTTGGGAACCCCTGATTTATATGAAAATGTTGATTATCGCCTTAGCTACCATATTAAGTGGTATTGTGTTTACCTACCTCTATTTCACCAAGATGTAAGGGACCTCCTGCATCTATTAAAAGATAAAAATATATTAGATCAGAGCTATTAGTTAGGGTGATTGTATTTCACTTCTAGTTTCAGAGGTATTATAGCTCTGAGTACAAATGGCTGGGGAACATAAATAGGTATGTGATACACCATGCATTCCCTGCTTGAGCTTCCCAATTGCATCTAGCTGTCCAAGAAGTATACAGGACTAAAGAACATATGCATTAACCCAACAAGGGACTTGCTTTGTTCTCACTGAGTGTAGCTCTATAAGCCTCAATGCACATCATTTTAAAGTTCTTACGGTAACAACGGCAATCCAGAGCATAAAAGTGTCCACTATGGTAGAAAATAACAACTTCTCTCTCATGGACAGTGGCTGTTGTTCTCTTGAGCTTTTTAATATCATCTTCTCTACCAACATAAATTGGACTAGACACTTCTTTCCTTTTAGATGGTTTGGCCACACCACTTTCATTAATATCCTGCAAGAAAAGAATTACATTAAAAATTAACTTTAAAATAAAAACAATTGACATAAGGGGAAAATCCAACAATGCACCATAAGAAATCTGTTCTCTTCTTCCTCATAAGGTCTTCCAGTTCTAGCTGAAAATCTTTTTTGGAGGGTCTCCCAACATAGTGCAGATTTTGAGAAAACTTTTTGGACTATAGGGAAGTAGTGGAGAACTTTCCTATCTACTGAGCTGTTCCCTTGCAAAATACATTGGATTGAATGCCGTCATCAGTGAATTCACTTTAATGCAGATTTGTAAACATGAGACCCACCAGTCCTTTTAGGTGGAATCACAAGGGTGACCCAAGTTTCCTGCTCATGTGAAATCTACAAAAAAACGAAGGAATCAAGTCTTTGGCAGTCAGCTCCATTGGTCAGCTGCATTTAGCTAAAAAGCAGAAATGGTCACAAATTCTGCAGGTAAGATTTATACATTCATCAATCTATTGTGAAAGAGAAGAGAAAGAAAATAAGCATTATTCATCCAAGAGTGGTTGTGGTTAATGAAATAGAATTGTTTTAAGGTATCTCATTCTGATCCATATGGTGAGTCCCTGAATGTAATTAACTTATTGAACTAATTCAGTGCCAACATGCAGTCATCTAAAGAATTCTTGAAGGAGGAAATGTATTAAATGTGCCCTTTGCACCAGATGAGCAAAGTTAGCAGAAAATTCACCAAGATCTTCAACCTAGACTTACCAGCACATATACCCAGTTTCTATGAAACAGTGCTGCTAGAATGCCTATCAAAAGGCAGAGAGAAACCAAAGTGCTCAGTTGCAAGGAAAAATGTTAAGAGAAAGACAGGCTCAATGTAGCCAGATGGCCTTGGAACCAGACCAAAAATAATGAGCATCAACTGAGAAAGAACAAAGTATTGACAGCTTACCATATAAAGTTCTCCATCTGAGAGTAATTCAATGCCCTAAGAATGTATTATTTACCATTTGTGGTGTGTGCAATTGGCTAACAGTATGATTTAAGCCTTGCTAGAAGATATGCTCTGATGACAAGTAGTGTTGAAAAAATACTGAAAGAATTACAAAAGGCCCCATTAAAAATAAATTGTTGAAATCATTTTTTGTGGAATTCAAGAATGGGCTTAGCCCAGCTGTCAATAAATGTTACTTAACATTTGTTGCATTTGAATGAAAAATAGGTTTATTAAAATATATATCAAGATAACATGGTCACATGATCAATATTCGGATGCTTGGCAACTGGCATGTATTTATAACGGTTTCAAAAGGGGTCATGTGATCCCTTTTTATGACCTTCTGACAAGCAAAGGCAATGGAGAATCCAGATGCACTTAACAATTGTTTTACTAACTCAACAACTGCTGTAATTCACATAACAACTGTGGCAAACAAGGCCGTAAAATGGGGCAAAACTCACTTAACAACTGACAATTACTGTCAAAAACCAAACCTGCTGGGCTATATGACCTGTTTTTTTTGCTAGCAAGCAAAGTACAAAATATGCTTTTGTGGCATTTGAATGTGTGTAGTAACATCACTAATCAAGCCCCATTGTATAATAGTGTCACAACCCAAGTATGTAAAGGAAGGGGCCTGTGCAGCAATGTTACTACGGAGTAGGGCAGTGGTGGGGAACCTATGGCACGCGTGCCAGAGGTGGCACTCGGAGCCCTCTCTGTGGGCACATGTGCCGTTGCCCCAGCCTTGCCTCCCCCCGTGACCCCCTCCTCACCAGCAGCCCCTCTGGAGGAGAGTTGTCCCCGAGCGTGGCCCACGCAGAGCAGCACAGCCAAGGATATGGCAACCAGGCAGCATAGACAAAACTCTGCCCTCATGCCCCATTGCTCACAGTTGATGCTGCGGGGCACAGGCAGAGGGCGTGGCCGCCATGGCGCTGCTTGCCTGCCTGAGCGATCTGCGGTGGGCCCTGGAGGCGGTGAGTGGCCCTGCAGGCAGGCAGGGTGGGGGTGGGGCAGGGGTTGGAGCGAGGGCAGAGCCAGTTTTTGGGCACTCGGTCTCTAAAAGGTTCGCCATCACTGGAGTAGGGTTTGCCATAACTGTCCTTCTTTCCTGCTGATATTTGTAAGACAGGGGTGTGAAACTGCCAGCCCGTGGGCCGGTTTCATCATACTGGAGCCGCGGCCACCCCATTGCCGGCAATGGCGAAAAAGCTCCGATACGTCGCGCGATGTCACGTGACGTCGCGAGTTTGACATGCCTGTTGTAAGAGCTTTATTTCAAGCTAAAAAAGACTGATTTGTAGGTGGCTGATAGTCCTCTTAAATACTCCTCTATTTAAGCCAATCCATGTTAAATCATTACTATTAGGACTGTGTAATACAAGAGGCCATGGTTTGCAAATGATGTTACTGGAGTCAATTTAACCTAGTACAACAAAGACAAACTGCATTATGGCTTTATAGATGTCTAAACCCTGTTTTTCAGAAAACGCATCCTACAGAAAATCACTTCAAAGTTGAAAAGGACTGCTATTTTTTTCTGAACTAAAATTACAATTATAAATTGGATGCAGTAGAAATATACATGGACAAACACATATAAGGTCTTACATTTTATTAGCAAACAAGAAAAGGGGGAAGCAGGGCCTTATCTGGCAAAGAAGAAACTGAAAAGAAGAAGCAGGTGTTAGCTGGGAAAGTGAGGATTTCTATCAGAAAGAACAGACTAAGGACTGTAAGCAGTTTACGTATTTTGTTATACTAACTAAACAAACTATATTATTGATGTTTTATAAAGAAAGGCATTTTATAAAGAATGAACACTATTCAATAAAGCAATGTTTCTAAGCAGACTTAATCCAAGTGAGGTGAACAGGGTTGACACAATAAGAGAACAACTGAAATAGCATTTTCTTAATATGAGCTTCAGCAAATAAAATAGAATATCACACACCAATCTTTCACACACAGTGGATTGGAACCTGATTATCCATATTAGTTGATAAACAGACCAATAAATTACACTATAGATAACTGAGAGGATTTCAGCTACGGGAGCAGCAATCAGCACTTGCCAATGTCTGTAGAAAATCCTATTTGATATTTAGCTTGCATTTACCAATCCTCATTCTTCCTGTGAGTCAGCCTTCCTATTGCCCAGCAGCCTCTTAACAAACGAAACAAGAAAAATAGTATGTGGTGTACTATGAAGGAACTGGCTGAAAGTAAAGCTACTGGCACAGCATTAAGAGCTGCAGCAGGCTCAGAATACAAAGATGTGAAATCTAAGGGAGGAAGTGGGGGACGAAAAAGAAATCTTTAATGGCTGGTTACTTCTCTGCTAGGGCCTAAAGGCTCTTTTATGATCCAGTGTTTTTCCAAACTAGCTCTCACCATGCTGCTATGGTTCTGGAGAATTATGAACTCTCCCTATGATTATCGTTGTGGTTATGGAGAATTATTAACTCTCTCCATCAAATAGACAATGGGCATTGCTCATGTATACCTTTGTATGTTTATATCTGCATTTTTAATTAATTTGCTACCTAATACTTGAAAAAAAATCTATCCTGCTTTAAAACAGAAAATAAATAAATAAATCCTTACACATATCCTCTTGATAGACAGGTAGTCTTTGACTTATAACTGGTCATTTAATGACTATTTAAATTATGATACCTTAGAAAGGGTGTGTTAGGGCCCATAAACCATTTCTGGCCAATATAAAATATTGCACTGCCCCCACTGTGGTCACATGACTGCATTTTGGGCACTTGGGAACTGGCTCGCATTTACAACCAGTTGCAGCATCTCACAGTTATGTTACTGTGACCTGAAATATATTTTTTTTTGCTGATTTTCAGTATTCTTTCCCCTTAGGAAAATAGATTCACTTAACGACCATATAATTTGCTTAATGACTGCCATAAAAATGCTTGAAAAATCAGATCTGGTCTTGACTTATGACTGCAGCAACTTATGAACACAATGACTTATAACCAAAATTACGTCCAGGACTATCTGTACATCTATCCAACAGATAGTGTTTCTTGCCTTAGATAATGGAAGTACAGGTAATCCTCAACTTTCAACAGTTCATTTAGTGACCATTGAAATTATAATAGCACTTTAAAAAGTGAGTTATGACAATTTTTCACACGGCCATTGCAGCATCCTCGTGGTCATGTGACCAAAATTCAGAACCTTGGCAATTGACTCATATTTATGAAATTGCAGTGTCCTGGGGTGATGCGATCATCTTTTGTGACCCTCTGATAAGCAAAGACAATAGAGAAGCCACGTACACTTAACAAACATGTTACAAACAACAACTGCAGTGATTCACTTAACAGCACTGGTAAGAAAGGTTGTAAAATGGGATAAAATTCACTTAACAACTCTCTCTTAGCAACAGAAATTTTGTGGCTAAAATGCAGTCATAAGTCAAGGCCTATCTGTACTTGCAATGTAATATTGAAACCCTAGAATTTTTTAATTAGATTTTTAGCCTCCCTTTGTTACTTTATAGATAACTCAAGGCAGAGAACATACTCCTTCCTCCTATTTTTCCCACAACTACAATCCTGTGAGGTGAGTTGTGCTTAGAGTAAGTAACTGGCCCAAAATCAATCACTTTCATGTCTAAAGCAGAACTAGAAATCACAGTCTCCTGGTTTCTAGGCCAGAACCTTAACCACTACACTAAGCTGGTTCTCCATAATTTGTATTCTCGGAAAATTTAACATTCACAATAAGACTGTGTGTGTGTGTGTGTGTGTGTGTGTGTGTCAGAAAGGGAGAGGGAGGAGGGAGGAAGGGTGTGTGTGTGTGAGAGAGAGAGAGCACCTTTAATTCAGTCTTGACTAGTCCATGCAACCTTCTTGGCAACATCTTTGCCTTCTTCTTAGAGCTGAGAGAGTGACTGGCCTAAGGTCACCCAACCCAGCTGGCTTTAGCACTTAAAGCAAACCTCAGTCTCCCAGCTTCTAATCCAGCACCTTTAACTACTATAGCAAACAGGCTCTCTGCTACTCATATTCCTACCTATAAAGGTGATAGATTGGCAAGATACTTTTCAGCATTGATTTGCCCCTGGTGGAACTGCTTCAGTTGATATCTCTCAAACCTGGATCTAAGTAGTCATCTTGACTTATAAGTGAATTATATTTCTCTTGTTATACAGGGCTAACAATTACTGTTTAATTTTATCATTACTTTTGTATTTATTTATGCTTCATGGCGCATTGTCTTAAAAGGTACATTATAAATATGCCACATACAAAATAAAATAGCAAACTGAGCTTACAGGTGCTACTATTTATTCAAAATACTGTAAACTCCCCTTCAAACTTGACTCCTTGGTTACCTCATTAATACATCTGTACAGTTTTCCTGGCAGCAGTTCTGAAATGGCTTGCCATGCCCTTCTTTGAGGATTGTTTTGAACTTCCCAATTTGCAACTCTTTACAGGAATCCCATCTATATTAAACATGCTTTACTTCTGCTGCTCAGACTATTATTATTAGGTGCCTGAGTCAAGTGTTGGCAACTGCTTGGACAAGAGCCTGCAGTTTTATAAGCCAGGGGTCCCCAACCCCCGGTCCGTGCACCAGTACCAGGCTGTGGGATGCCAGCAACTGGTCCGCACAGGCAGCAAACAAAACTACACACCTTCCGGTCCGCGGAAAAACCTCTCTCCATGGAGCTGGTCCCTGGTGCCCAAAAGGTTGGGGGCCTCTGTTCTAGGCAATTTCAGAAGTGATTTGCCATTGCCTGCTTTCTAGGGCTGAGAGAAAGTGACTGGCCCAAGGTTACCTAGCTGTCTTTGTGCTTAAGACAGGACGACTCATGATATCCTGGTTTCTAGCCTGATGCCTTAACCTCTACACCAAATTGGCTGTCAAGACTCATTATTTTAGATTTAAATTATAACTGGGTTCAATTGTAGATGGAGCTAGAAGTGGAGCAAAAGAAACATTTCTTCAGATATGTAGTAACTCTTCAGTTCCTGGATTCTCTAAATATAACAGTTGTGTAGAAGAACCATGCATACATAGATATTTATTTCAGGCTGTGAAATTATAATTGAAATTATAATTCTATCAAGCATCGGACTATAAAATCCGGGATTGGAAATAAATCAAACGAAGGGGAACTAAGTCTCCCTGTTCGGCTTAAGTTTGGCGCCAGCTAGTGGTCGGAAGGATTTTTCAGTCCAAAGAGCGTAGATGTAATTGGATTTCAACTCAAAATACAGAAGTACCCAAAGATTTGGAGAATAGTAATCTAAGGAAGGCTGAGAGTCAGATGTCATACGGAGATATTACTTAAAACTCCTATGATGGGCCAAACACAGCAAGATTTTTTTTTTTTTGTATCGCCCTACTACAGCCTGCCTGGTCATATGAAACTTACTCTCACCTCACAATCTTCGCCGCCCGCAAGGAGGCGATCAATGCAGACGTTCTTGCCGCATCAAGCGGGAGCTTATCCGCAGTTGCAAAACCACAACGCCCAGCAGCCTTCGCGCTCCAGAAGACCACAACTCCCTGCAGGCGCTGCGTTCAGCCCTTTCCTATTCCCTCTTCTTTTCACGTGTCCCTCGTACGGGGAGAGGGAGAGAGAGAGAGAGACTTTTATTTAAAGGAAAACCAACCTGTTCCATTTCGCCAGTTGAGAGGGATACCATTCAAGTCAGGCTGCGAGTCCAGCGCTGCAAGATGATTTCTCCGAATTGTTTTTTTTCCCTGCTCGTGCGTCACATCTGAATGTTACTGGCGCTATAAGCGTCACGTGATAAAATCTGGCCTACTGATTAGTGTTTCTTTATTACGTGCGTTGATTTGAAGGAAATTTACACGGGTCTTTATTGTTTGCAAATCCCTAATACTTGTTTCTGCCTAGCGTTGTTTATTAAAGAAACAAAACCAGAAGCAAAATGGTGGATTTTTTGGAAAATGCCCCAGAGGTCTGGAATTGGCCAGATCGGGAGGAATAAAGTTAGGAAAAGCCTGATACGAAGAAGAGACCCTGAAGCTTCAGGATCACTCCATATGCAAAAGGAAGAACAAGAGAAGTTTCGGGAGTGAGGGGGGGGGGTAGATCAGCCTCATTAGATCCCGAAGAGGTTGAAGGATACGCAAGTTTTGTAAAACACGGGAAAATACTGTGATATTTATATTTGCCAAAGCTTGCCATGGGCTGGTGTATTGTGAGAGTCAGTTGAAATAAAACATTCTCTCCTCTCTTAGAACTTATAGCTTTTGAAGAACATGAAAAAGTTTATTGCAGCATTTGGCTTTTACCTCCTATTCTGAATCTTATGTTCTTTCTCAATATCAAGTTGGCATACATGAGACCATGTATTCCATCATGGCTGAGACTAGTATATAAACAAACTTGTCAATTTTGTAATTCTATAATTATGTTATTTAATTAATTAGAAACAACAGCATAATGCAGCAGACCTGGTTCTATGCAATAAGCTGAATATTTGTACATTTAAATTGGATTTGGGAAAAAAATTAGGGAGCAGTAAGAGCTGATTATACAAATGCAGCTTTCCTTTCCAATCCAGTGGAAAATGCAGAGGTTCATTTTCAGCTAAGCATCCTTGTCAGCAAGCGAAGTTAAGCAACACATGTATACATGTAGTATAATATATCAGATTTTATAATGTAGTATTTCAGTATGTCAGATTTATTCATCAACATACCTATTACTTTTATTCTGTTTTGGATATGTAGTTACAGTGTAAAGTGTAAAAAGAGTAAAAAAGTCCAAAAAATTAAAAGTTTAAAAATGAAAGATACAAGAAAAAATACAGCACAAGCTAATTTACATCTACATATTTAGTATATTGTTCCCCTCCATAGATTTCTGTCCTTACAAACGATACTCATATCCCTATACCACTTCATGAATTGTTTTTGTTCTTGAAACTTATCACTTTTGGATGATATCATCAATTCCATCTTATTACAACTTTTTTGTATTCCTTTTTTTTCAGTCTAACCACTCTGTATACTAGTTTTGCAATTAGTTCAATAATTCTGTATGGCCAAACCACCTCTAAGTACTTCTTCTGAATCAGTCACTCACTATTGCACTCAGTCACGTTCATTAATCACTCATTTATTCTTAGCCCTATTTCTTCTGGTTTTACCACACATACTTAAGTACCGTATTCCCGTTCCATTTATTTTCGACATACTTAACTCTCATGCGATATAGCAAAGTCAACAAATGGTTTAACAAAAATTGTTCTTCATTTTTTGCAACAAGAATATAATACCTACCAGCATTTGCACATCTTAAAACTTCTTGCAATTTTTCCATCTTTTATTCTGTCAAACATAGCTACTTTGATTTTTAATATTTCAGTTTTCCTCTTCAATCTTGTTTTTGCATCATACATTCTATTAAAATGATTTATTAATGATTTAATAAATCATTTGGATTCTTAGCCAATCATAACCACATTCATGCCCCCACAAACTGTCTTCTAACGTCACCATAACTCATTATTTTTATTTGTATCTCGCCTTTATTATTTTTACAAATAACTCAAAGTGGCAAACATTGCCAATGCACCTTCTGCCTCCTATTTTCCCACAACAACAACCCTGTGAGGTGGGTTGGACTGAAACAGACTGGTCCAAAGTTGTTATGCATTATATTCATGAAATCAAATAAAGAGCAATACATATGGACTCAATGATGAACCATCATTTACTAAGCATCCCATTTATTCCTCAAACATGCTTAATGTCATGGTTCTGACAGAGACGAATAAAGCAGAACTCCAAGGCTTGCAAATTCCTCAAAGAACATGTTTATTAGTTACAAAGTATCGGCACGTCAAAAGTGAAACTAAGTCTGAAGACACAAGTAACAATTCCCCAGTACAAAGTTAAAAAATCCCTCCCCTAAAACTATGCAAGCAACTAGGTTTCCTCAATACATCTTCTTGGCGGACCTTTTACGCAATACCCAGCCTGCAATCTCGGGAGCAGCCAATGACCTTGGTTCCCACGGGACAAAAGATTTAGACTAGCGAAGCACCTGGGCAACCTCTCTCCCTCCGTTCTACATGGCAACCGAAAATGAGTAGGGAAAAGGGCTGCAGCCATGCTCATTTGTTGAGTTGACACTTTTCTTCCATTATATATTGTTCTAACTACCTTCAGCAACCAATCTTCCACTCCATATTTTGCAAAACATTCAAGCCTATTCATGTTATCTTATACTTCCTCTAAACCAACAAATATATAGTAAGTTGATTCAAAATAGTTACTAAATATATTTTTATTTAAATTGTTAAATTATATAGCAAATCCTATTTGTTTTAATTTGTAATGTATTAAAATATATTTTAATATTTGTAATATTCCTAAATCCAAGGAATATTTCATTTAAACAAAACTTAATAAAATTTCTAAACTGATTTCTTTTATTTTTAGTTTATATTTCTTAATATAATAAAACTTGGGGTCACTTTTCAAATATTTTCTGCTTATTTTGTCTTTCATTTAATGAGGGTACCTGTAGGAAAGTTAAAAGTATATGAAATCTTTGATTTGGGATGAAAATATAAGTGAATTAATATTGCAGTAAGAGGTGATAAGCCGCCTGGGAAAGCCAAGGGAAAGCATCAAAACAATTAAAAAATGAAAGTTAGAATATTTCAGACATGTGATGTGACACCAGAAAAATACGGCATACTCCATTTAATCCTCCAGGGAAAGACTGAAGGCAAACGAGATCCAGGCAGAAGAAGAACATCATGGCTTCAAAATCTAAGGGACTGGTTTGGACAAAACTCAGCAGCACTTTTTTGTGCGGCTGCTGATAAAAACAGGATCGCCAACATGATCACCAATGTCTGATAACGGATATGGCACAAGAAGAAGTATTATTCTATAGATTACCTTCCTTCTTTCTGTGTCATTATTTGTTTATTTATCCCAAAAACTCTTGGTGCTTTACAAAAAAGAGACATAAGAAACAATACATAATAATACATACATAAATAAAATATAATAAATCAAGAAGAAAACTAAGAAGTACACAGACTAATGAAAGCCTACAATTAAATTAAATAAACAGTAACGAATAATCAAGCCAAGATACAATCATGGCCCAAATAGCCTCTCATCAATTTTTGAGCAGCTTTTGCAAGGACTGGGCAACTATTGAAAAGCAGTACTACCAAACCTTCTCTCCCCCCCCCCCCCAAATATTCTGAAGTAGTATCCTGCTGTTAGATTTCTGGTTACATTTCTGGAAGAATGTGGCCTAGCAGATCATAGTGATATTTTGAATAGCTGGAAAATATTACTCTGGTTCTATTCTAGCTTTTCAGGTAGATTCAAATAGTGTTTGCCTAACTGCTGCCAATTCTTTGTCATAAAAATACATACTTAGAGCATGACACATGCCTCTCAATGGAATACAATTTTTATTTCAAACTACAAAGACAATAGGGTCATTACGAGTTGAATGAAACTTGGAAATAGGTTTTTTTAATCAATTATAGATAGAAAGATGGTTTTGATTAACATAAAAGGGCCATACAATTCTTTAATCTTGTTATTTTTATTAAATGGAATACTAGGACAACCAAATTACCTTTTTGTGCTTTTGTTCTACTCACTGATTCCAGACTGGCATCACAACCATGCACCACTATGTACCCCAATTAAAGGCCCAGTGTTGAGTCTAGACCAGTCATCCTTACTAATGCTCTCTTTCAGCTCCTCTAAAATCTTAACAAGAGAAAGAAGCAGCAGCAACCATCTTTTTATTTTCTTTTTTTGGCAACTGCTGATAAGGACTGTTTCCAGATATGCAAATGGTCAATGGAGATAATAGTAATGTGGTAAACTACAAAACTGGGAGTCAATATTGCTAGTAAACTTGTCTACCATTATATATATAAAAATTCCCATTTTCAACTATCACCAGAAACTTCCTATAAAAATCATTGTTTGGACTTCTTTTAAAAGACATCAAAGTTACAGCAACATTATACACACAAAATGAGTGTTTCATGAGAACACATGAAAAATGTGACACATTTGAAGCCTGAATGTTTATTGCCTCATGAAAATGCTTTACAGTTTTGGTACACTTGAGTTTTCCTCTAACAGACAAGAATGAGATGATATCTGGAAAAAAATTTAAAATTGGGAATTCATACAAGCTATTTAATAAAAATACTTCTCACGATAGAAGTATCACAATATTCCAATTGTCTCTGGGCAATTTACAAACATAAAATGCAAAATGCAACCAAAACCCTAACCCCCAAAAGCAATAAATAATGCTAAAATGGTGTTAAAATGTTATGAGCAACTATCAGCCTCTGTGATTCCTATAAAATAAAACATATACTTCCTAAAAGCCAAAACATTGGCAGGGTTTGAACCCTGCAGGGAAGACTATGGTAAAGGAATGAGGCCATGGCACTAAGCAATTTTCTCAAACCCTCAGAAAAGGGAAATTGTAAGTTTCTTCTCTTGGAAAGAGTCAATTTCCCAAGAGAATAGAATCACAACTATATGAGACCCAATTCTTAGGTTACACCCCACTCCAAACACAACTCAAACCACACCAGTTCTGTTATCAAGATAAGTTACGTAGAAACTGTCCTACCTATTCAAGAATAGCTTCAAGCTTCTTGCACTATATAGAAGAAATTCAAGAATTTGAACCTTGACTTTACCATAAATTTTATTTGCATTTGGAATTCTTTTGCAACAGCTTCATTATCAGAGCTTTCATAGCCTTAGAGCTTTTTGTATCAATTTCTTGCCTAGCCAGTCTAAAGCAGCTTGACTGGCATCCTGCATTCAAGCCAGACCAGGCCATATAGGTTAAAACCAACAGTGAGCAAGGATTTATCTCGAATTGTGTCAATAGATTTTACTTTTACAAAGCTCAAGTTACATTAGCAACTTACTCTTAATACGGCTGTTCAGAAGTACATTCCATTCGATTCAGCTGGGCTTATTTTAACAGGATAGGATTTCAACATTGTCATCCAAAAGCTTAGGACCTGGTCAATGTGTGTGTGTGTTTGTGTGTGTGCTATGAAAAAAACTTAACTTGCTAATTTTTAAAATCAAACTGTATCCCAGACAGCTATGGTTTGTTGTTTTAATCAATTGGTACTTTTTCCCCTCTGATAAGCGTATGAAAAAATATGTGATTCTGTTTCTAGTGAAAGCAGTTGCAAACCTTCAACAGATTTTAATACATCAAGATTTCAAATCACTATACATATATACATATATACATATATACATACATACATACATACATACATACATACATACATACATACATACATACATACATACATATATATATATATATATATATATATATATATATATATATATATATATATAAATAAAAAGATTCTCTTCAACAGGTTTCTGATGCACGGCCATATTTTTGGCAGATACACCACTGAGCAAGCAAACAAGCATTGTGGAATCTGTAGAAGAAAGGGGGGGCTAAGGGGAGGGTTTCATTCAGATGTGAAGGCAGCTTCACAAAGTGTGCGGAGAAACCTGGGCTCAGTTCAGGTAGGTGTGAAAGACTTTCACTCAGCGACCTGACCTCCACCCCCCCTCCGACTCCCCCACCCGTTTCGTGGCCGCGCTTCCGAGACAGATAGGACCTCACGGGTGGGTGCCACTCACGGTCCACTGTCCGTCTCGGGGATATATACGACGGCACCGTGCAGGTAGGTGTGTGTGTGTTAGGAGCGCCGACGAAAGATTCTGATTTCAAACAAGGGTCAAACGCGGCCAGAGGGAGCCATGGCTGATGCGCTCGAGCCAGACAGCCAAGCTCTGGGAGCCAACTTGTCCAGCCCTCAGCATCCCGCCTGGAACTTGAATCTTTCTTTCCCCTCTCGCTGGGCTTTGCCCGGACAGTCTGCGCAGACCATCGGGGCCGGCACGATCATGCTGCTGGCGCTGGTGGGCAACTGCTGGTTGTTGTACCGACTCCGTTGCGGAGGGTGCTGCTGCGGAGGTCGCTTCAGGAGGCGGCGGAAGATGGATTTCCTCCTGGCGCACTTGGCTATCGCCGATCTCTACGGATGCGGGCTGGCGTTGCTCTCCCAGCTGCCTCCAGCAGGGGACGACCGCGTTGCAGAGCCGGGAGACGCGGGATGGCTGGCCGGAGACACCACCTGCCGCTTGCTCCGCTTCCTACGAGGCTCGGGACTGCTGGCGCCGTCGCACATGCTGGTTCTTATTGCGCTCGAGCGACAGCGCTTGGCGAAGGGCCCTCCGCCCCCTCAGGAATCGCTGCCGCCTTTCGTGCTCGCCCGGAGCGCCCTGGTCGCGCTGGGCTGGCTCTTGGCTTTGCTGCTCGCCCTGCCTCAACTCTTCGTTTACAGGCTGGTCCCGTCGCAGCCCGGAGGCCGCTGCCTCAGCATCTTCCCTCAGCTGCCCCGATGGCACGGACAGGTCTACGCCGTGTACGAAGCCATTACGGGCTTCGTAGCTCCCGCCTGCCTCTTGGGCAGGACCTGCAGCCGCATCCTCGCCATTCTCAGCGCTTCTGGAGCCGAGGAAGAGGAGCCGTCGCAAGAGGGGCCCGGCGGCAGCGCCGGACCCTGTCGCGTTGAGCTGCCTGGCGTCGCCGGCCCCGCCCCGCCGCTCCTTCTGCGGCTTCTGCCGATCTCCAAGTGCGCTTCCCGCTCGCCGTCTGCGCCGCGAAGCCTGCCCCGCGCACGAATCAGGGCGCTGCAGCTGACTTTGGCGCTCGCCGCGCTGTTTGCGCTCTGCGGTTTCCCGCGTTTTATTTTGGAGCTGGCCTTAGCTTTTGCCTTTCCCGACGGCGCCACCCAAGAAGCCCGGACGACCCTGAGCAACATGATGGCAGCCACCAACAGCGCCATTAATCCCTACGTTTGCCTCTTGTTCCATAGCTACCAGCCCTGGGCCCGGCGGCTCCAGCGCAGCCTCTGCAGGTGCCCCGACGGCCAACCCAGACGGCAAGCTCGCCACCGGCAGCGCCTGTCGCCACGGGCGGCCGCGGATCGTGCTGAACTTTGGCTCTGCCCCTGCCAGACTAAGACGCCGGCCATCGCAACAGCCATCCAGCTAGAGAAGGAGGAGAGCCGGGCTATTTGCGAGAGCAGATTCTAACGTCGAGGGCCGGATTTGAAGGAGGCTTCATTTGCTGTTACCGTCCACGGAGAGCAGGTTGAAGAAAGGAGAAAGGACCTTTTGACACTTAGGATGGCCTTAAGTCTGTTTGGGCCTTTGATACCATGTGCTCCACTGACGTAAGAGTAAAATAAAAGATTCCAGGGTGCTTGCTTGCCTGCGGGTCATGTGTTCAAGGCTTTACCTGAAAAGCAGAGAAAGGAAAAGATACTCTGCACTTGCTCAAGAGCCCACTTGAAGCTCTAGTTCTTTTTCATTGCTTATCCAGTTGTAGGAATTTAAGCTCATATAAAACTACATTGCCATTGTAAATGAATTCTAGCTTTACTGATCTGGATGTACACCAATCAGAAATTGTGTTTGCTTGTTTTGTGCGTAGAACAAATATGGGAAAGTTAGCCAGACAATTCTAGGTAGGCCATAGAGCTGCGAGACAAAATACTGTAGGACTTGTGCTTGTTTGACTTTTGGGGCAAAGCTATGGAAGCATCTTACTGGCAAGGAGGAAAGGTTGTTGCATCTTGGCCTTGTCTCCCTTTCGTTACACAATTTGAGGGCCAGCCCATCCACCAATCTACCTGAAGCCTTTACCGCTCTGCTGCTGTACTTCTGTCTGCCAGTCCTTTGGTCCTCCCTGGATCATTTCATTCTCTCTTTTTCATTTAGCTCTTTCCAATTGCCTGGCATTTTCCTTATTATCCCCCAACCCAGAATGTTTCTGCCCAAGAGTATTCTGGGCTTGTGTTTAAATCAAACAGAGAAATCCAGTCCATGCTCAAACTAAACACATATATGCCAATGTAGGCATTGACCATCAATACAACATATCCCTAGTTTTATTTTTCATATTTCCAGACAGAGCTAGAGAAACAAAGACTACTTTTGTTGTTATGCAAAGAGATTGTATTATTAATTCTTTCTGACATTTAGTCATATTCCACATATTCATTGCAAATAAATGTCCAACATAAAATGAGACCTACAGTTTATTATAATAAAAGTACATTCTGGTCATTGTAAAGGCCTTTACTTAGGTATTTACCTAGTATATATTATGAATCCAAGTAAAGGCTACATTATTGATATAAACACATATGTAAACAAAGACAAAAATCAACAGATATAAAATAAACTGCAGAAATTGAAAGCTTTCAATAATGTTTTACAGAAATCCATCTCCTTTGCAATTAAATATTAGTAGCATTACTTTAGCTATAAAGATATATCTTGTTTATAAGCAACCAACATTGGCAATTGCAGATAGTGTAACAGTATTTTTATTTCTGAAAGCTAAGATTGAAGGTAGGCTACAAGATTTAAGCAAACATTCTTGGAAATCTACATGACTATAAAGCAGTATCAAAAGGAAATCATCCTGTCAATCATTTTTTTAACAATTTGCTTCTGAACTGAGTATAATATGGCAAGTTAATGTTCTACTTATATTCCCCCCCGCCGCCCCAACGTTTTCCACAATAAAAAGGTACAATACAACAAACTTTTGTGCAGGTGCTCTTAACCACACTTGTTCTCTATCCTTTCTGTTTTGATCACTCTATATTCAAATGGCATTAGAATGACTACAATGGTACATTAAAAATAGGAAAAAATAGAATATGTAAAATGGATAAAATCAATTCCAGGATATGGAAGCATATTTGTACTGGAAGTGAACATCCACAAGAGTTACTAAGGATGATTGAAATCAATCCCAAAGGTGCTTTTCAAAAGACAACTGAACGTACTTGGTTGTTTTCCTTCTCATCCAAGAAGCTTCTTCAGTCTTCTTTTTCAGAGAACTGAAGAAGCTTCTTGGATGAAAAGCAAAATGGTTTTAAGGAAAAAAACTAATCCAGTTGCCTTTTGAAAAGCACTTTTGAGACAACCATGACTTGAATGATTGAGAATCTCCATAGACATTAAAATGAATCATTGACAACAAATACTGATAAGGACAAAATCCAGCTTGTTTATTAATGTTGAAATCAACGTCAACTACTGATTCATATGTTCCTTTCAGAGGCAAAATTACACATTTTAATACATCTAAGATAAGATTTTGGGAAGTAGAGGATGATGGCAGCTCAGGAAGAACAGAAATTATTTTTCTCATAACAGAAGCAATGAAAATTTTTGGGCATGGCTTTCCTTTCTATTTGCTTTCTTTTTGAAAGACAGGATTGACTTGACCAATGATTTTATTCCCTATGTTCAAATAATTATTAGGCCCAATATCATGGCCATGTAAGCTACAACATGAATTCAGATTTTCCCAGCCAAGTAGTCTTGGAAGCCCTAAGATGGTATTATGAGTATCAATGGATTTGTAGATATCTCCTTTAGGGCCTACCATGGCCCCAATTTCTCACTAATGTTGAAATAATTTATTCTTTTTAATGAAGTAAATAATAGCTGTATTTTGCTACAAAGCAAAGTGCTATTTTCCAGTATTTTCCCCCCCAAGAATCCCATTGGGTGCTACATGGAGCTCATAAATATTTCCAGAACATAAACACTGCATCCAACTGCAGTTCAGTGTGTGGCTTGGAAGCATTTTCCTTCCGCCCATTAAATGGGATAAAAATAAGCTGTGGAGTTGGTAAGATAGTTTCCAGAAAGGAAAGAAGGGCAGGAAGCCTTACCACCTATTTGCATGCTATAAATGAATACTTCTTGGTTGGCTATTTCCTATTTCCAATAAAATTATAAGGATTGGTTCACGAGATCATTTATATTACCCTCTAGCCCCATTTCTTTCCCTTTAATGAGAGCCTGCCATATTACTTGTGAGCAGTGCTAGCTTTTTTAAATTAAAAATACCACCTATTTGCATGTTATAAATGAATACTTCTTGGTTGGCTACTTCCTATACAGCAGTAGTTATGCGAAATGTGCATAAAATGAACTCCAAATTACAAAAGTATCCACCAGTGTCCCAAAAGGTTGACAATTTGTCTTACAGAGAAGAAAAAAAGCTGACGAAATTTATGGTCTAAAGCAAAAGTACCAAAAATCAAATACAAAAGTTTGTATGATGTATAATTTGCAAAAAACAAGAGCTCAAGATGGGAAAAACCAAAGCAAGAAGCATTGAAAGCCACTGAAACCTCTCGTTGACTATGGCTTAAAAGGAGACAAAAAGTTCTGAATATGAGCATTTTATTATAACAAAGTGGGAGAGGCAAATTCAGCAGAGAAGAGAAAGGGACATTCTTTTTTTTTCTTTTTGAAAGATGTCCATCTAATTAGGATTTTTTAAACTTCACATGTGCTTCTTCATTACTCTAACCTAGTGTTTCTCAACCTTGGAAACTCTTAAGATGCATAGACTTCAACTCCCAGAATTCATGCAGACTATATAGATATATTCATGTATTTTTCTTGATAACAGTAATTCTTCTAGTTTTTTTTGACTCTGAAGTTAGCCTTGTGATTTCTTAATGGCCTCCCATCAAAGTGTTAATCAGGGCCTACCTTGTCTAACGTTTGACCTTGGACAAGGCCCAACCAGGAGCTGTCTTCTTCTGAGACCTTAATGGAAAGACTTGCTATCTAGAAAGCTTTGTTAACATCCAAACATGTACATATGCTGGGTGAGTGAAATCTTATGTTTCTGTTTTCTGAGCGTTCATACTGTAATGATTAATGTACACCTTATTCATATGTCCCATATGCCCAAAATGTTAAATATAAAATATTAGTTTAGATACAGCACAAAATTTGGATTGTGGACTAAATGAAATCAATAGGACAAGTTCATCATTAAATCAATGTACTTTTATATATTTATAAGCAAAAGTAACTGAGTACTGATAATATAACATAGCTGTTGTGGACAATACTACTATGGTATCTGTGGCTTCTAGTCATGCCTCATATAAAGCTCCAATATGCCTCAGAATAAAATGCTGTTGGAGAATATTTTGTTCTCATAATCCATTTGTGGGATTCTGTTGAACAACTGATAAGTATGAGGGTAGTCCTGGTGCACTAAAAAGGCTTCTGGCCAGGCCCTGCATAGTTGTTCATAAAGGAATTATTTTTTTCTTGAAAATGACAAAAATCATGTAAGGAATTGTTGCTCTTTAATAATTTTAGCCAACATTTTGATAGTTCTAAACATGTCTGGAAAGCAGTTTTTCACAAGCTATCATTGCTCAATGGGTGGGCAAATGTTTTCTTACAACCTGCTACAGTGTTAAGTACTTTATCTTGGAAGACTTACTTATGAGTCACTTAGACTAGAGCATTTGTTCTCAAGTAGAGATAAAATGCTTAAAAACAAGTGACAAGAAACAAGAAATCAGGCTTTGGCCTTTTCAACTACTCCAAATCATATATGATTGAAAAGCTGTTCTTAGCATGCTATTTAGTCTAAAAGTCTAGTTTTGGCACAATGTACTTTGCAGAATGATGCCCTCATGTTTGCCATTTGCAGAAATATGACCTTATAAGTCCCGATGTCCATGACAAACTTAATTTGGCCTCTCTCAACTGTTATATTGCAAGAGGCTGTAGGGATTTCCCTTATCCTTAGCAAACTGTCATATTCTCATCTCAGCAGGTCAATAAAAGTATAAGGATTGGTTCACGAGATCATTTATATTACTCTCTAGCCCCATTTCTTTCCCTTTAATGAGAGTCTGCCATATTACTTGTGAGCAGTGCTAGATTTTTTAAATTAAAAATAGTATGCATATGATTAAATGATGGTGCTATACCCATATTTTATTTAACTTTGACATCCCCTGTCCCCACTTTATAATTACCGATATGTCTGTAATCAAAACTATGAACTCTATTAATTTGTTCAACTACAGTTAACTTCATAATTGCACTATGAAGTTGACTTATTTATCTAAACCAGGCTTTGGGTCAATGTTATTGGACTGAAAATTTCCAACAGTCTCAGCAATTATAGTAAATAATGCTCTGGGGAGCAAAGTTGAGCTATCCTCTTAAATCACAATTTAGACTAACCATACTTTATTTTATGTTAGATATAGACTGTATTTGTATCTCACACTAAGCCATGCTTAATTCATAACTTATTAAATAAACACTGGACTGGATTTATACAACACCAAAACCAAACATTGTTTTGTTTGCATGTATGCATATACATATGCATATGTAATGAACTATCTGCAAGCAAGCAACCAAGCTCAGAGACCACCAAGGACCCACATTGTATGGCTGTTACAAGTCACCACTTGGAGAATCTCAGTCAAAAGGAAATAGAATGTTTCTTATCTTCTGAGTGCCATACTGTAGGAATAGAGAGTCAGGAGCTGATAAGCTTGAACTACATATATTGTCGGAAATCTTACTAATTCATTCATTAATCCATGTGTCAATGGCATGTTGACATTTCTTTGGGTTCTTTTTCCAGCTCCGATGCCATCTGAGGTTAGCTATTGTATCTGAATAGTTTTGCCCTAAACTTTGCTTCCAGCTAATAAATTGCTGTTTATTATATTGTTCAACAGCGGTAGAGACTTTTGGATAGTTAATTATATGGTATAGCTTCTTGTTCAAAGATTGTGTGATTGCTGGAAACTTTGTGGCTACATCTGTTAGTTCATCTGGGTCCGTTGAAAGATCTACAACAAAGAAAATAGGTTAAGAGAAATCACAATAAACATAAGCTTAATTTTAGAAAACCAGAATTGTGTAGTCTGATTCCAATTCAGTTAAAAAATTGAATCACTACAATAACAATTAATGTTATTTAAATTAAGAAAGTACTGTATTCCTGCAATAAATACTTGATCTTTGCAATTCCTCCACCAGTTATGTTATCATATTAAAATATCAGACATATGAACACACTCTGCAGCAACTACAGAAGAAAGCTATGCCTCTGGAATTCAACAGCTTATATTGTCGGTGACATCTAATTCATAGGTTGCTTTATCTGCTATCTGAACAAACAGAGACAGGGTATGTGCCTATGCTATCAGCAGTTTGAGACAAGTCACTCGAAAAGGATTTTAAATTGTATGTATCTGCACAGGTATCTTATTTGCAGAGGAAGAAAAAAGCTGTCCTCTTCCACTTTATACATGGTCTGCAGTAAATGCAAGCCTTTATAATCATAGCATTCTCCTGAGTGGGAGCAGAGAGTGGACGGTGGCGTGGCAGGGAAGGAAACTTCACTGGCATTTTACAGTCACCCTTTGAAAGTAGAGATGGGATGGGCAAATAAGATCAAAGAGGAAGAACACTTTGATGCTTTCTCAGCAGGGTGAATTCATTCTGTAAAGGGAGGCAATGAAGCTGAGGACTTGCAAAGCTATGGAAAAAATTGAAGATGTTTTTAATGATCTATTCTAATTGGTCCTCCCTTCACGGAAGGGTAGCCTCCCAAGAAAGGGAAAGTATTGGGATATAAACACCTTTGAACCATTCCCATTAATTAATAATTTTATTAAGGAATCACAGGTTACTTGTAGCTTAGGGGCTGCACCCTATGTGGCCTTTAAGGGGCATACGTCTGCATGCACACATTACTCATGAAACCCACATACACAGTAAAAAGTAGAGTGCCCACAAAACTAAGTTATTTTGCCAACCCTTGCTACTACAATTAGGCTAAGGCAGCAAGTATGTGCAGGTCACAAGCCTAGAACTTTATGTGGCTATATTTATTATTATAATTTAAATAACCCTAAATGTAGCCACATAAAGTTCCAGGTTTGTGACTTGCTTAGTTATAGCAAAAAGGGAGTTTTGGCACCTCCATAGCTTGGACTGACCGGAAGCAGCCTGGGACAGGACTTCCTTCTCAGCCTGTGCTGCAGTAGCACCAAGTGATTCTTTGGAGGGGGGGGGAAGCAGGTGTCTTTTATCCAGGATAGCTGTCAGGAGACCTTTCTCAGCCTCAAGGGGAGCTGACCTGCTCTCTGAACCCCAGAGCCCCAGCACATGAATTATAATAATAATTGCCTGCAAGCAAGAACTGGTGGAATCACAAAATATACAAAGTAATAGAAAATGAAGAAGCTAAAGTGCTCTGGGACTTTAGAATTCAAACAGACAAGCACCTGACACATAATATCCCAGACTTAACAATTGTTGATAAGGACAAAAAAGCACAGTGAATGTTGCAATACCTTGGGACAGCAGAATAGAAAAGAAAGATTGGGAGAAAAATCACAAAATATAAACATCTACAAACAGAAGTAGAATGACTATGGCAAAAGAAAACAGATAGTACCAATAGTAATAGAAGCCTTGAGTGCAATTCCAAAATGTCTAGAATACCACTAGAACAACATCAGAGCTGAAAATATCGCCATCAATTAATTGCAAAAGGCAGCTTTGCTTGGAACAGCTTACATTCTGCGACGATATCTGTAACACCATCAAACATCCACATCTGCCTATCCCAGGTCTTTGGAAAGGAATTGTTACGTAAACAAAAATGCCAAATCCAGTCTGAATATCTGGTTGACTATGCAACGAACCATAATAATTATTCTCAAATTGGACACAGTTCAATATGATATTGAAACACAGATTTATAGATCCCAGGAGACCAGAATAGATAATGGATACTTAACACAGCTATTTTTTCTCTCCCCTGCTGTGGGCAGTGTTTCTTGCATTCTTTGACCTACTGTTTCTATTGTACTGTATGTTGAATTAAAACTGCATGCTAACTTTCCTTGATACAGATTCTTTCAGGCTTTTGACAGGACCTTAAATTTTAATCAATATTCAAATTTTAATCTTCACTGTCCTCTGTTCTTTTGCTGAATGGAACAAGGCATAACAGATGCTTTTCACAGTTTTAGGTCTTGTGCTAGTACAAGGCAAGGACTGTGTAGCTAAACGTGCGCAATATGGAAGTGAATCAGCTTATTTTGATCATTCATATCACATCAGAGAATAAGAATGATATTTTCATCAAATGCTAAACCTACCAAACAACTGAGGAGATACGGAGTGGCCATCTGAATAAGCAATGTATTTCCACTTGTCAATTCGCAGCATGTAGGTTGAAGAATTCACATTGCAGCCATGAAACTCACTCAGAATCCAAGGAGGACGGAGCCTTCTAGATAGGGCTTTATACTCTCCCTTTTCTAATATCAAAGTCATCAGTGAATATCCGCTGAGGTTTTTTGGAATGGGGATACTTGCAATGTCTGAAAAAAGTGTCAATTTGATAGAAAAAAAAAGCTGAATTAAGCTGAATTAAGAAACAAAATGTATAAAACTGAGGATAGGGGAACAGAAATTATATCATTTCAACTACTTCACCTTTTTGCTATTCTGGTAATATTACTGTGCCTCTTTTCTTTATGTCTATTTTATGTTCCAAATGGAAGTTAGCAGCACAGAATGGTAATCCATATACTGAATAGAGCTATTCTCATTATTCTGAGTACAGAACTGAAGTCTAAATGCGGTTATATTTGGTTGTCAGAAAAAATACATTTTATAAAGATTTCAGTTCCATTGAGTTAACGAGATGCACCTCAAATGTATTTATTTATATGCACACAATTGTCTGCTGAGTTCATATTGATATGATATTAACACTGATTCAAAAAAGGCATAATAATCAATTTTTACTTTGTTAATATATTTTCAGAAGATGGTTGCCAACATTGGTTCTAGAGTGACCACAATTTAAATTAATTAATTTACATGGGTACCAAGTTATACAATTTCAGAGACTCATTAATAATGATAAATCCAAATCTTATGCCGTGTGTGTTAGAAAATATGAGGAATAAGTAATCAGTTGTATCTTCGGACGTCACTAACGATAAAAATGGTAATAGACCTGTTGACTCATTCTTTTATCTTAAAGAAAGATCATTTAAAATCTTGTATGTGCTTCATGCAATAGCTAAGCTGAGCCTTTCTGTGTAACAATGGTAGGTCTTAGGCCCCAAGCTAGAAAGAAAGAGACCTGAGTATTATTTCCATCTTAGGCATGAAAGCCGGTTTGGGTGATTTGGGTCAATCATTCTCTCTTAGCCCAATTTACCTCACAGGGTTGTTGTTGAAAGGAAAATAGGAGGAGAAAGGAGCATTAGGTATGTTGGCCAATTTGAGTTATTTATAAAAGTAATAAAAGCAGGATAAAACAAATAAATGTATGTACCGTATGTGTGAATGAATGAATGAATATATTTTGCTGGACAGCTGATTTACAATGCACTAACTTTTTTGCTTCTATCTCTCATGCAAAAAATAGTTTGATTCAACAGCTATTGTACTCATTTTAATATCCATTTGCAATTTTGAAAAGTACAAGGAACGTACTTGCTATAAATTTACTCAGAACTGAAGCTACATCAGAAGCTCTTTTAGGCTGCTGGCACTAAATGCATAAGCATGATTGTATGTTTAAGGCATGAACTGGAGCTTACATGTGAAAGAATATATTATAAAACAAAACAGTATGAATAGAGAAAATATATATTAGGGAAAATAATTTATGTTTTTAACAATCAGGATGGCTGAGAAAGTAACATTAATCATTTGTTTTATTACTCATCTAAATAAATTAAACCCTGTTGATTTATGTTTTTATTTTTAACTTTTTGATTACAGGATAGAGCAATCAGGAGAACATATGGAGATGAACAGAACAGGAAGGACAGCAATTTAAAAATATAAACTTCAGGAAGATTCGGGGAAAACACAATTAGAACCAAAATTGCTAAATTAGAGGGCTGAGAATTTGAAAAAGTTATTATTCACCTGATTTGTAAAGCTCCTGTTAAATGTAGTCTTGAAAGAACTATTTTGCATCATGACAAAGCATTCTCAATTTTTGAACAATTCTTAAATCGTTACCTCAAAAATGTCAACCTATTGAGAAGGTCTAACCTTTTTTCCAAATTACAGGTAACCCTCAGCTTACAACCACAATTGAGCTAAGCAAGACAGTTGTTAAGTGAATTTTGCCCCATTTTATGACCTTTCTTGCTATAGTTGTTAAGTGAATCCCTGCAGTTGTTAAGTTAGTAACTTGATTGTCAAGTTAATCTGGCTCCGTTCCCAACCCTATTGGTTGAGAACAACCAGAATCACCCTTCAGGAAGCATTATTAATGTATATAGTGCCTTACTTCCATGATACCTAAGGAAATGGTATTAATCTCTACTTTAGAAAGATCACTTTAAATCATATTCAAGGCTTGGAATGATACAAACAGAAAAAGAAAGCAATTACAAGTCTGAAAGGCATTATTAGCATATTAGATGTTTTGTATCTTCTACTAATAGTGAGGCAGAGCTAAGGGCTAATCATTTAGACAGTATGTAACAACTTAAAGATTTCAAAAAGAGATTGCTTCCTTGTATAATATGCCAGTGTCACAGACTGCTAGCTTGAAGTGTAAGGCAGTTTATAGGCTGAATTCCAAAAAACTCCACAGTTTCAAGCAAAACTGAATGCAAGAAGGAGGAGGAAATTAGAAAAGATATCATAGGACAGTGATGGCGAACCTTTTAGAGACCGAGTGCCCAAACTGCAACCCAAAACCCACTTATGCATCGTCGAGTGCCGGGTGGGTGTGGCCCATTGGCTGGGTGTGGCCAATTGGGTGGGCGTGACCAATTGAGTGGGCGTGGCTGCGGTGCTAATGGCAGACTGGGTGGGACTAAAAAGTTCAACCAATCAATTCCAACTTTGCAAGAACTTTTTTTTTTTTTGCGAGAAGTTGAAATTGACTGATTGATTGAACCTTTTTTTTTTGCACATGGCGGCGGAGGCCTAAAGAGAAAAGGTTTTATAAAACCCAGCTGAAGGACTAGGACTGGGGCGACGACGTGCGTGCCCACAGAGAGGGCTCTGAGTGCCGCCTCTGGCACCCGTGCCATAGGTTCGCCACCAGTGTCATAGGAAAACAGGTCAAGAAAGAGGAGAGTTGTTTCCAACCAGAGACGGGGATTTTCAAACATCAGATCTGATGGGTGACCACAAAAAGTTTCTTAAGACCAGATAGAGTAGGGGTGTCAAACTGCCGACCCACGGGCTGGATGCGTCATGGTGAAACCGCACCCACCCCATTGCCGGCAATGGAAAAAGTTGCGACAGGTCGCGACACTTCACATGACGTTGCGAGTTTGACACCCCTGAGATAGAAGGTCTGGATAAAGCAAGGTGTCTTGTAAAGGGCTTCGTAGCAAGCTGCAAGACTTCCTCCATAGCAAGACAGTCAGAATGTAAAAGCATAGTACTATCTGTAGTAAGACCTACCAAGTGCCATATCTGTAGCAATGAAGTGCACTGGATCAAATGAAAGGTATGAAATGCTTTGAAAATTGGAAATAATAAATAGATGAATTTTAAAACAGTTGTGCCAATAAAAGCAATTGGACTGAAAATTAAAAAGTACAAGTAGATATAGAGAAAGGGACTTTCTGATGCACCATTTTGCCGGTTTATATCATGTGAGCACCAACCAAGGGAATTAGTTGCTAGAGTGAAGATAATTGCATTAAGGATCATATTCCCTAAAATCCAAAAGATATAGAAATGTATAGATTGTTATTCACACTCTTGGTTCAGCCTCATTCTCAATCACCTTTCTTTCCCTTCACTATCATTATGTAGCCAATTTTGATTAATTGTTTAAAATCTTAGCAGTATCCTGATAACTTTGCAATTCCTATCAGCTAGGATTGTCCCACAAAATTAACCCAGAAAGAACAGGCAGCCAACAGATAAAACAATGGCAACAAACAATACTAAAAAGGCCAACAATCCCATTGCTATAGGATAAATGTTGCTTACCAAGCATGGTAGGATAGATATCCACAAGGGACACCATATTTGATATGGACTGTGACTTAATATTTGGACCCATTATAAGGAGGGGAATATGGGAACTTGCTTCATACATGCTCATTTTATAAAACTGTCTGTGTTCCATAGCAAGTTCTCCATGATCTGCAGTAAATATTATGTGAGTTCTTCCAAGCAGTCCTGTTTCATTTAGAGCAGAAATTATCTCACCTGTAACACAAGACAAGGAAAAACATTTTAAAATTTATTAAATAGCACTGATGTTTGTGAAGATTCCAAGGAATACTTTCTTGTTAAAAAGAACATTTAGTGATGAGTGATCATGAAAGTTTTTCCCTGAAAGTTCTAAGTTTCTTTCAAAACTTAACATTACCAAAAGTAACTGATTTCCAAAACTCTGAACTTGTAATACTATTTTGTGAAACTTAGACTTAATATCTATGGCAGTCCAAAATCTTAATAATGAAATAAAAGGCCTGTCTCAAAATTTAACTATCTCAAGATTAACTCTTAGGACCAGGATATATTTTTCCCCTCAAATTTTACAAACTACATCACAACATTCAGCTACTTTTAAACATAGCTTTATATCCAAGCTGACAATTAAAACAAAGTAATTGATGTTACTCATTCCAAAGTCTTGGCCCATAATATATTATGCGTACGTAATTAGTAAATAGTGAACATCATCACACCAACTTAAAAGCATATATTCTAATGATTAGATTGCTTCAAAGTCATAAGAGCAGATTATTATATTTTCTATCTAACACTTCATAAGGTTATGCTTTGCATCCTATTAATAAGTGTGCTTTTCAGTGTACAGAAGTTCCTTAAGTACATTTTAGCTGGTTCAAATGAGCAATATAATATCAGATTGTACTAGTTCATAACGAAACACATCTATTAAATATTCCATATTACTGAACCTTACTTTAATATGATCAATTCCTAAATTAAAAACTATATAGTCCTGATTAAAAACTATATAAATAAAGGGTAACTTCTAAACAGCTGTTTATCTTGCATCTAATTTATTTCAAATGTTACCTATGAACTGTTTTTCTTGACCCAAAGAAATATCCTTCTTATAGAGGGTGCAATTGAAAGTATTCCAAAATATTAAAAATCTCCTCTGCTCTAAAGAACCAAGAAAGTCACTGATCTGTAATTGATAGGGGCTATGTATGGACATTTCCAGATAATAGTTTTGATATCATCATGTGAAGGATAATGCTGAATATTTTAACATGGCTGTATTCTATTCTTCATGAATCCATATAAGATACCTAAATAAATAAAGGAAAATGCAATATAATACATTTTGGGGGAAAAAGCTTCCAAAAAATAACAGTTCTAAAATTTCTGACAATGTACAGATCAGGATGATAAGCATATTCATGAATGTATATATTATGAAAGTAATAATCTGATATCACCTACCAAGCATGGCATCCGTTTCTGCACACATGGCATAATAATGTGCTCGAATATTTCTGATTTCTTCTTGTGTAAATTGCCCACTGCAGTTCTTAGTGTAAGTAGAATAATAATCAACTGGGTGCATCTCTGAAAATGGAGGCCATTTTGGAATCTTTATGGCATCATAAAACACCTAATAACAAAACAGAAATGTGCCATATTTGATAAAATAGCTCTATTGTGCATTTGCAATTTGTTGGCAATTTTCAAGTAGGTGCCAAAAGTAAGCATGATGATTGAAAATGAGATTACAAATAAGATTTTTCTCCCTAGACTGGTAGGTGCACAGAAATGAAAAACTGGACTTTTTCCGAGAGGTCAGCTGCTGGCACTACTAGAACCCTGCAGAGCTACACTATCTTTTTATATGTAACATTTTTAATAGGAGAAAAGATGAAAAAATGATGAGGCAGTTACAAAGAGAAAACAGTGTAGTCTGGACTTTCTTTTGAAGTCTGTGAATGAGTAGGATAACAGTAAAAAAAACTTGTTTGAAACTACTCCTGCAAACTTTTAATTTAATTATAAACCTAGATATGATGGGAGTGTCACAACACAGTTTAATTTTTAATTTGTAGTCTTAAAAATAACTTAATTCAAAAATACTCTTTTTGAAATGTTACTCAATTGCACATTTTTGTTACTCAAAAATGTTACTAAGGACAGTTGCCCCTTCCTCTGAGATTTACTATTTTGACAAGGGGGGAAAAAACAAAGGAAAACAAAAGCAAGGGCAAAAGAGGAATCTTATGCATTCTCAATAACACCCACTGAAACTTAACTAAAGAATAGCGTGAGGAATAGGAGCCAAATGAATTGGCCAAAAGAAGGGTTTTGAGGGAGGTGTCCAGTCTGATACTCGGTGGCCTGGAACATCAGTGCAAGAAGTCCTACAATCACTGCTGTGTCTATCATGGTTCACATGTCCTTTGAGAGACTCCATCTTTTTTTTTGTGCCAGTGTCAAACTTTCAGAGATTGTAAACCGAATATTAAAATTTATTTCCACAAGGTACTGGTGGTTTTAGAGAAGTATTGATGTAGGCTTTTTGAAATATATTCTCATATCATGTAAATGCCTTATATATCTATAATGCATTCTCTGTCTGCAAAATGTATCTTCCTTGCTTATTGCATCAAATGTATCTGAAAACAAACCACATGCTTCAAAGCTGAATCCAGCTAATATATTGCCTTAAAGACCATCTGCTTAGCAACACAGTGTACTATGAGAGCATCATGTTGATGCACTTTTCTAAGCTGAATCACCAAAGGAACAGAAACAATGAATTCATGCTAACTTATATTCCATCAAGATGGGAAAACTGTGGAATCAATTCCATAGTTCCATCATTCCATAGTTCTCTCATTCCAACCAGTGGAATGGCTTGCCTTTAGATGCTGTGGGTGTTCCATCACTGGAGGCTTTTAAGAAGAGTCTGGACAGCCACTTGTCTGGAACGGTATAGGATCTCCTGCTTGAGCAAGGGGCTGGACTAAAAAACTTCTAAGATCCCTTCCAATTCTGTAATTTGGTTATTCTGAATTATTATTCCACATCTCAGCAGAACACTCAGCAGTTTGTAGCCATAGGCACCAATAGCAAATTGTGTTAGGAAAAAAAAGACAGTCATTGTTAAATTTATATCATACGGGTTGCATTGTACTGTCAGGATGACAGTCCTACAGTTCTAACTCTGCTCCAGTTGCTCCAGTTAGAAAGCCATACTCGGATCAATCGTTTACACTGGAGCTGGTACCTCAACTATATAAAAGTGCTGTGTTGGTCACTAGGCAACCTCATAGACAGAAAACAAGATGCTGTACTGGTTGATTCAGTAGGACTCCAATATCCTTAGATGACTCACTATAACAGCTAAGAAAAAACAGCAATAACCTGGAGGAACAGAATACTGTTCAGGAGGGGAAGGAATAATCAAGCCTTGAAGAGGGAGGGGAGATTTGGAGGAAAGATTACTTAGCTTTGAGACAAAGGCACTCAAAGTAACTCTGTCTTGATTTGTTTAGAATAAGGACGGTCAGAGAAAAACTTAAACAGGTTTTCAACATCAAGACCAGCCCTGTCCAGGACTGTCCAGGTCAAGAAACAGACATAGCAGGGAGGGATGGGATAGATAGACCCTACAAAAAAAGTCTATGGTTGCTCTCCCATTATGATTCTCCCATAACATCATAGAAAATCTGTCTAGTTTATTGTTAAATGAAAAAGGAAAAGAGGAGATTGATGAAGTACCTGATTGAAGTAACCTAGATTGAAGTAACCCTAAATATTGCATTAACATATCCATTTTTGGTATGTACCCTTCCAAAATGATTTAAAAAATGCTTCTGAACTCTGCATGAGCAGGTATTACTGAGCTATCATTATCATTAAAGCAGTCTGGGTTTTTACAGTCTTCCAAAGCAGCTTGCAAAATAGTTGTCACTGCTTTAACAGTCATAGAGTTGACTCAAAGTAGTGGCATGTTTTCTTATAGTCATGCAGAAATCTGGAAAAAGCTTGAATGAATAATAGAGGCCTCACACAAAATCCAAAACTTTTTCCAAATCATTTCCAAACCTTTTATGGCCCTAACATGAATATACTTGTAGAACAACAATCCTAGTTCTTCCCAGTTTAAGAATGTTCAGAACTGAGAAAAGTAGCAAAAATAGAGCTAAATTTACATCTTATACTGTCTGGGTTAAACATAAGAACAATATTATAGTATATGAAAATACTATAAGAGAAAAATATGTCGTAACAATTATTTAATGGCTGACAACGCACTAAAATTCTGTTCTAACTATAAAAAATAAATATGTTATGTGAGGATGCTTTTGTAGAGAAATTGGTTCATTACAGAGCTGCAGTGCCTTTCAGTAGCAGGAGCCATGGCAACAGGGCTAGAGAGTGTGGTAGCCATTGTAAAACATCTGGGGATAATTCATTTGGAATACAAATAAACAGGAGTATTTGTCTCCTCTTCATGAAAATAATAACACTAACTGAATTTTATTCAAGTTAACAGCTGGATTTTTCCAGCTTTAAAATAGAAAATGTAAACCAGTAGAATTACATTTTCTGTCCTAGCAGACAGCAATCATCATATAAAGAGAAGATACTACAGTTTCTCTAAGGATCAATCCAAGAGTCAATATTGTAGCTTATTATACACAACAAGAAACAGATTGGCAATGCAAAGTCTATACTAGTAAACATCATAATTGCTCAATTTATAAAATGACACTATCACATGCAACTCATACTAACTGTGGGAGCTGGTTCTATTTTTTTCTTGTGGGAACATTGCCGAAGGGACTACAAAATCAGCAAACGTTTTCATTTCAAAAATTATATGGGCATCAGTCACTAGTCAATATAATGTATGTTGCCAATTTAAATCCTTTAAGTTTCAACCACACAAACACATAAATGCCCCTTTTCAAAGAAAATGCTGTTGCTACTATGCTTACACGTCTAACCATTCATAATCCTTCACGTGTGAAACAACCATGTTTTCTTGTGAAGCAAAATGCATTGGCCGCACTCACTCTCCCATCCTCCTCCCATCTTCCACATTTAATCCTATTAATGACTTTAGTGTGGAAGCTTTTTCCAGACAGCAATCTTCCTATACAAATTTGTTGTACACAATATATGATGGTGGGTGGATCCAGATTTAGATGCTTATAAGAGGATTATTACCAAATTTTTCCCAGTACTTCCTTCAGTCTCCTAATATTACTCAGCAGGTAGCACCCACAGCAAACTATACTGCTAGCACAGGTGTTTCAGAATTGCTGATGATACTAGTGAAACAATTATGCCAAAATATTTTGCTAGAGCAGATGAGCCCTACTTGGCTTCCAATAATATATCACAGGTCATTTTAGAAGTGCTGGCTTATAATCATGCCAGATCTTCACCTAGGCTAGCTAATGGCTGGCTCAGTTGAGGACGACATTGAATCCAACCCTGAAAATACCAGATTGTGGAAGGCTGATCTAATAGCATGGTCAAAGTCCCTCAGTCAGAGAAGCTTTGGACTAGGTACTATTTCTCAGCCCAAACTACTTCACAGGATGTTGTTGTGGGGAAAACCTGGGAAGAGAGAGTATTATATACACTATCTTGAGCTCCTGAAGAAAAGGAGAGCCGTAAATCAGTCAGTCAATGAAATGAATAATAAATATTAGATTGAGGTTGACTTATGTACCGATAAAGAGTCAGCTGACAAGGAATTCTTTAATCTTTTTCATATGCCATGTGTTAACATATTTAATTTGATAGCTGGAACAGTAAAGTGTATAATAGGCCAGAAGCTGATTGGTTGGAGAGTGTGGGCTCCCACATAAGGCAATCTACGTTATGACTATCTTATTTGATGTAAAATATTTTAATATATATATAACTACAGTGCCAGTGTCTCTGACTTTATTTGGACACTGGCTGCACAATTCCCTAACACCATGTATATACATACCCTCTGTAGCCAATATGGAGATGTGAGAAATGTGGATCCCCCATAATTTTCTCCTGAGGATGGTGAAGGATATGGGTGAGGCAAATTTAGTCCAAGATACAGAGCAAAGGGCTGCGATAGTTTAGTTGCATTATTTTTTATCCAATTTGCTGCTTCTTCAGTAACCTTCCAATCTTTTTGCATGACTCTTACGTATGTCTTGTTACCTATGAGTTTAGCCACAGGTCTGCCTTCTTGCTGAAGCAAAAAATCAACATCTCTGGTCCAAGCCTCCACACGGTTGCTGAAAATAAGAAGAGCTTTCAAGGTATGCTTTTTAATCAACACATAATTGCACACAAATTACCCACGATTATGATGCTGGCTTGTTTTTATTAACTATTGCTGCAGTTAAACAGGTTAGGCTGCACAGTACATGTATATATAACCAAACTACACTTTTTCTAAAATTTCTACATTCCTATTTCTTTCACAGCAGCTACAGAAGCAGAAAGCAAAGGTAAGAACGTATGAGCCTGAGGCCAGCTGTGGTTCACAGAATCACAGAACTAGAAGGGACAACAAGGATGATC